TATATATATATATATATATATATATATATATATATATATATATAATCCCTCCTATCTATTTGATTGTTTGTTTTATGTTGGTATTGTAATCATTATTTTATATACAATAAGTCTATGATTTTCATATTTATCATTATAAATTTAAGTTTGTCATACATATATTCATGCAAAATGAAAAAATTTATATATGCTCTTATAGTCAATCTTTATGTTCTAATTAATGATAATAATTATTATATAAAAAAAATCATTAACATCCTAGTTAGCCTATGGTCTAGACGTATATGTGTAAGGTTATTCAATGTATCTTTAAGATGAAAATTAAACTCTTTATATGTCATTTGCATGAACATCAAAGTCGAAAGAGGTTTTTCAATTCAATTCCTTTAATGTTTAAGTTAGTAACTTGAGATAGGTGAGTATAAATATGGGTGGTTAAAAAATAATTTTTTTTATTATATTAAATATAAGCTTTTATATAAGAAATATTCTATGAAAAGATAACCTCTAATCATATTCAACAATATATTTTACTCATGTAAGCAACAAAGGAAAGATATCTTATAACAATTTACCTTGGATCCTTATCCATGTGGATAGATGAGTAAATGATAGTCTTCATCTTATCCTTTCACCCTCCATACCATATGAAAGATATATGTCCAATCACTGATGGTTGGCAATGTTCTTTCGATCAATAACCTTTAAAAACATTGTTATATACGAATAATATTAATAACATTTTAGATAAAATATTTATTTTTATATTTTGAGATTCTTTTACCTATAATTTGAAAATAGCATATTATGATTACAAATTTTGATATAACATAATATTTATAGATACATATTCCTTTTTACATTAACAACTTCTACACATGTCAATACTAACATTATCATTCATTCAGTAATCTAATTATCGTTAATATTAGTTTACCTTTTGGGTTTTAAAAGAATTAAGATGAACATTATTAAATTCAATCATTTTTTGGGATGAATTTTTAACAAGAATAATAGATATGGATGATTTTAATACTAATGAGGATTCAAAAAGTAAGTAATAAAATCCATAAATAATATAGAAATATATCAAATCATCCCAATCTCCACTCATTAGCTATTTACAATAAAATCAATCAACTCTATAATTGAACATAACCAGTGAAATGGACATGAATATATTTAAGTTTAATTTCACTCAAATTATAATTTTTAAAATGTTAGATTTATATGATCCTTTATAATTGGATAAGATATATAATAGAACTAATTGAATTCTGATAATAGATATTGTCTAGTAGAAAAGAAGTTCACATTATAATATGATTCATTATAGGATATTCTTGATAGGAGAAACTTTTCTGCACTCGCCTATAAATAGATAGCACTTCTAAAGACCAAACAATGCATCTCATAAAGCACATAGTTGAGAGATTATAGTTTTTTTATCAATTTTCAATCTAACCATTTTTATGTAACAGTTTTTATATAATGCTTACATAAATATCATATAATATTAGACTTGAAATGAACATTTGGATTTGCAAAGAATACAAATACATAAATACAATTAATTTGAGAATTGTTTGCAACGAGGAAGAGTCAAATCCACGTGGCGACCATCCCGCGCACCGAGGTCGCTGATCCCGCCATTGCGTCTGCGTTATATTACCACCCTCCGTACCGAGAAGACGTACTCCCATTGTCAGAATTGCCGACAATGGCTGTTCCTTATGAGAGGAGTGCAATTTACAGAATGTGATGAACAATATCAAGTCACCCTCCGATTTCTTCTCCATTTCTTTATTGGTTTTCGTAAATTACCGCTTCTCTCTCTCTCTCTCTCTCTCCGCGAACCTTTTCGTCGTCTCCTCTTTTTGATCTCATTTTGGTCTCCAAATTGTTATTATTAGGGTTTCTTCTCTCTTTGATTGCGGTCGTGTCGGAGAGATTGCGACCCTAAGAACCATCGATTAAGGGTCGGATCTCAGCGTAGGGGGGTGTTCGGAGGGGCATCGGCAATGGCGGATTTCCGGGAGAACGACGCCGATCTGGAATTCCGGCGTGGCCTGGAGGAGCTCGTTCGTGGCCACCTCGACGGGTGCATGACCGCCGCAGCCGCGCTTTCGTCCTCGTCCTGCGCTGGCGGTGGCGGTGGAGAGGAGGACGACGAAGGAGGTGCGGCCTCCGAAGCGGCGGCCGACCAGCTCGCCCGCAGGCGCCGTAGGTCTGACCTCGAGGGCGACGACCTTGCTGAGTCGTCCGCCGCGGCGCGTCGGCATTCGCGGGTTTTTAGCCGCTGGGTCGCGCGCCAGGCGGAGGACATGATCAACACCATCGAGCGGCGGAACCGCGAGTCGGAGCTCATGGCCCTCGCCGGCCTCCACACGGTGTCCATGCTCGATCCTTCTTTCCTTAGGGAGTCGCCCAGGTCGCCGTCGGCAATGGCGGAGAGGCCGGTGGCTGCCCACGCGTCATCGATCCTGCAGATGTGGCGGGAGCTCGAGGACATGACCGCTGCCGCAAGGGCAGAGCAGAGGAGCAACGCAGCAGCTTCTACACTAGGCGGCCGGAACCGCTCTGAAGGGCAGGAGCTTGGTGGCGGCTCTGTTACTGCGAGCGAGAGCGAGTATAATGGTTATGACAATTGGTCTCATGGAAATATGGACTCTTCACAAAGACCAGGGGAGGTTGAGGAGGATGATCACAGGTCAAGTCGGGAGCAGTCTCCTGACCTTGGCGAAGATGCAAGGGAGAGGGTGCGGCAGATTGTTCGTGGATGGATGACGGAGAGTGGGATTGGAGACAATGAATCCAGAATGTCACCTCGGACCGAGACCCAGAGAGCAGAATGGCTTGGGGAGGTAGAAAGGGAGAGGGTGAGATTGGTGAGAGAGTGGATGCAGATGACCAGCCAGCAGCAGAGAGATGCCCGTGCTCGCAGGAGGGAGGAGAGGGAGAGGGGGAGGGAAAGGGATGAGTCTGCTACAGATCATGAGGATGGCCAGCCAGAGCATGTCAGACGAGAGTTGTTGAGGCTAAGAGGCAGGCAGGCTAGGCTTGAGCTTATCATGAGGATGGCAGCTGAGAGGCAGAGGGAGATCCAGACATTGTCAGAACATCGGGCAGTTTCAGAGTTCACTCACCGTAATCGCATTCAAGTGAGTGGTTTGATAATTTTGAATTCATTAATGACCACTTAGAAATACAAGAATCTTAAAATGATTGATGTGTATTTTCCAAAATTACCTGACTTTATCTCATCTATAAACATGTTTGTAATCCTCCTTAGCTTCTATTGCAATTTGGAAATCTCAGTCCATACTCTTAATGATAATCATTTGTGTGGAAGACAAGGAGCAGTTGTGTGACTATAATCACCACTTATACCTAAGAAACTAATAAATTTATGTTACTACTATATACAACTCTCGAAGACCTTTTTTTTGTTGATTTAATGTGGTCAAAAATTACAATCTAGATCTAATGTCACATTTTCCATTGGGCTGTGAGTTTATTTTTGATTTGAAGAATATAAGCTGGTTTTTGTTTCCTTCATCTTTCAAGTCTGAATAAGTTACTAGGACTGGGATGTTGGGATGTTAAGGGTACCTTTATTTCTATCACAGTTGAATGCAATGCGTTGTCTTTACTAAATATCTAAGTTGTCTAGTTTCACTAATGTTAGAGGCAAGACAAAGGCAAAGTATACAAGCATACCATTTGATGAATGAATAGGAGGATGCAATATGAAGTGAGAAGACAGTATTGAAGGTATAGGCATAAGAATGTTGATTACAAGGATTTAAATCTTGGTTTGTTACTGTTGGATAATCTACGAGACCGGTATGGTAAACCATGATTGATTATATGATGCATAAATTTGAAAGCTCTTTGTTCTAACAAAAACTCATAATGGGAAATAATATTTTTCTTTAAGTTATGTCATCCATTGGATATTGATGTTATAGCAGACATGAGAAATCTCATTTTCTTTTGAACAAGAAGCACTATATCACTTCCTCAGGTTCACGATTGATGTTAATAAGCCAAATTATTATGATCAATCCATTAACCTAGTTGAGCTGATTACCTGTTTCTGAATTTCCTAAATAATGGTACACTGTAAGCATTTTTTCCCCTTAATTATGTTCTTTAATTTACTGATCTAAACTGTTTACCCTTTAACAAAAAATTACATTTTTGCTTCTATCTGATGAATCATGGGGACATTTTTTTGCCTGTTGGAAGCCTAACTATTTTGATTTCTCAGTCACTACTGAGAGGAAGATTTTTAAGAAATGGCTTACCAGCACAAGATGATCAGGAGAGGCCACCTTCAGCAGCAGAAAGGGAGTTAGGTCAGCTAAGACAACATCACCGTGTCTCTGGTCTACGGTAACTTCATTTCCTTTTTCTGTTACTAATAAGTTATCCACTCGATATCGATCAATATCTTATAAGATTGGAATTTTTTATGGATCTAGTTTAATGTTTGCCTTTTGATTTTAGCTATTCATCACGATTTGACCTTGTGCATTAAATATTGCCTTTAGAAGCATGGGGTTGCATTTTCCTATTGTATTTTAGGTGGAATATATGTATGTGTAAGTTAAGGTGTTGTCCATATTGTGTTATATGCCATAGTTGAGTCAAGGATTGTTGTTCCCAAGGTCGATAGACAAGCTGACAGTGATGTAGCAGCCATGTTGAGGACAAGGTTCTGATCCTAGTTGATTACTTCTGCAAGATAAAGAATCTAAAGGGTGTCAGAATTGGCTCTGGTAGTGATCCTCCGATGCCTAACTTTGTCAATGATGAGAGGAAGAAAGGACAGCAATAAGATATGAACTTCTTAGGTCTTCATAGGTGAATTTGAATTGAACTGATCTGAGCTCTTGACTTAAGTGTCAGTGTAAAACAAGCAAGTGAAGATCTTAGAAGAAAATACCATGTTGGAAAAAGTTGAATCTTTGATCTTGTGGATTGGAAAAATAAAAACTATATATATGGCAGCATATTTGCTATGTTGGTTCTCTACATTATGTGTTATTCGCAGGATTTGTTACCCTGATATGTCTGATTTGTCAAGGTGACTGTGGAAAATTGTCCTTGTTGGGAAAATGATTGGGGTTGGCTAGGATTGTGTGTTTGTTGGAATGGGTTGATCCTCTCCAAAACATCCAATCACAGTATTTTCTCATCGAGCAGGTTAGCCAATTTGATTGATTGATTTGGGTTTCAACATTTTTAGAATCTATATTATTAGACAATGTTTTCCATCACTTTGAGTAACCAGCTCTGATCCTTTTCGCCCAATTCAATCTTTTCCCCTCTTATTGGTCACTAAAAGAACGGTGTACACTGTACACAAGACCTGTCATTCATCTCTTTGACTTTCCTCTCCTGATCTTCACACAATCTTAGTCAGATTCTGTTTTTTTCAGCCTATCATTTCACTAAAAGAAAGAAAAGGTCACTATTGTACCTTACCCTTGAGCTTAGTTTTGCCTTTATTATTTTTTTATGGTAACAAAAGCATATAATTTAATGTTTCTGGTTGTGCTAGTTTCTTTTTTGGATGACATGTATTGTGAACTTTATAGTTATGTTGGGGCTATGTTTGATGAGGTTTAGACTTTACGATTCTTTTTGCCTCTTTTCTTTTGAAAATTTTCATCTCATTTAAAATTTTTCTTCATCCAAAGTACTACCGCTCTGTTCTTGATAAGCATGCCTTAAATGAACTTTAGTACAAGAAAGATAGTGCTGTCAAGTGATTGTGCAAAAATAAATTAAATGGATATGACAAGTCTCACATTTTAGATGTCTGTCCTTGACAAACATAGTGACAAGTCCTAAATGTCATAGGCACTAGTCTGACAGGCAGTCATTTTGCCTCACATTCTACCCTCAAGTTGGGGTATTTTTGTTAGTGCTCTTCAGAATAATTTTAATTTGCATGGATAATGCTTCTATCAACTTTCCTTCTTCAAATGTTAGAAGTTAATGATTATTAGCAAAATTGCAATTATAACCATGAAATCTTATTCATAAAGTCCCAGTTAGAATTTTGTACCCTTTTTCTAAAAAAAGAAATTGTCATAAAATTGCCAAATATTGCCTAGCAATATCTTTTGTTCTAAAACAGGTACACTTTTTATCTCTTCCTTCCTGAGATTAAGTAACTAAGGGTTTCATAGGTCAGTGAAAATCATTAATGACAGCTGTATGAAGAGGCACACAATGCAAATATTGGTCAGTTTTGGAGGGTATTGATGGAAAGGCCAAATCTAGAGGGCATATATATATATATATATATATATATATATATATATATATATATATAAGTGTAAGTACTTCAGGGGATATATGTTCAAACATGTTACTTAGTATGTTTAGATGAGTATTGACCACCAATATCTACAAAAGCCATTTTTTTGATCCCTCATGGATAATCATTTATTAGGGTCGAAGCTTTAAATGTGGTTGCAGTTAAATGGTTTTCTACTTATTCTAGCTCACATAGCATTGAAGAAATTAAGTGGCTTTGCTTCAGCTTCTCTTTCTTATGTCGGACAAGTATCAACGATCGATATTGTATGGCGACAATTTTTTTAATAAAATAGTGCTTTTCTGCTTTCCCATGTTATTAGGCTGATTATTGTTAATAGGGATGCATTCATATTGTTTTGATTCTTTTATATCAAAAAGTGTGGACAATTAAGTCACGGCCCCTCTATTCAGTTTCTGTTGCTTGAGAAGGATAAAGGTGAGGTCCACAAAGTGTTTTATGAAAATTTTATTCATGTGCATTGTATTGTTGATTTGTTTAAAGATTATATTTTCTTCTGGTTTCTTCTTTCTTTCTGAAAATACCAAGTGATTCTTTTTGTTGTAACTAGGGAGGGGTTTCGGTTCCGACTAGAGAATATTGTTCGTGGTCAAGCAATCAGCCATCCTGATACTTCAGCAAATCAAAGCGTTTTTGTGACTGATCAATCTGAAGCAAGCACTGTAGCAGAGTTACTGAATGACAACCATGAAGAGGCCCAAACTAGAAGTGAGGATATTAATGTTCTGCAAACAATAGAGTCACGGGAAACACCTGAGTTAGACAGTGGTAGTCGTAATGATACTCTCGACATGCAAGAATATGCTACTGAGGTAATAGGACAGCAAGAAGAGAATAGAGAACGTGAGAGGGGAGGCTGGGAACCAAATGCAGATGGTGGTTTTGGTGATTGGCATGAAGAAACTGAGGAAGGATTTAATGGGAACCTGCAGGAAAACATGGATCAGGATTGGCCCTATCAAACGACGGCAGGGTATGATGTTGGAGAAGATAGTCGTATGCCAGAAGTTCACGAAGAATGGCATGAGGATGAACCTCCTGATGCTGCAGAAACTTGGCAGGATGAACTTCAGTCAGATCCTCCGATAGATCGAAGGTCCAGTCCAATTAGAAGAGGTAATAGATTTATTCCACCTGATGATGAAAATGTATACAGCATGGAGCTCAGGGAACTCCTTAGCAGGTAAGACTGATTCTTAACATCAGTGGTTATTATATTTATTGGTTGTTTAGTTATTGAATCTTTGTGACATTTGCAGGAGAAGTGTTTCTAACCTTCTTCATAGTGGGTTTCGTGAAAGTTTAGATCAATTGATACAATCCTATGTTCAACGACAAGGTAGGACCCCATTTGATTGGGATCTGCAGAGACCACTGCCTACCCCTAATCCAGGGGACAATCAAGACCAACGAGGGTATGATCCAAATCAGAACATTCAGGATCCTGTTGCTAGGCGGAATAATGTGTTCCCACCTCCACCCTTGCCGCCTCGACCACCACTGTGGCACTCAGATCTGCATCACAACAATTGGGCCAGGCAAAATATGCATCGTTCAGAAATTGTGTGTCATCTTTCTCATATATATAGTTTTTTTTTTTCACTTTGGCCACAAAAAATTGATATTTTAAAGCCAGTAAAAGATGCTACTCGAAACTGACTTATGCTTTGATAGTGGTGCGCTTTTTTCTAAACCGAATGATGGACATCAGCTTTTTTCTTCTTTTTTTTTGGTGGGGGGGGTGGACTTGTTGGTTTCACCATGATGCATGTACTTAACATCTTTTGTCCAATTTATGACTATTCTAATGATCATAGCTCTTTTAACTTTTTATTACTAGCTTGGTCATGGCTATAGGAATTCCATCTCTAGCTGAAGCTGATACTACTACATGTATCATATGCTTATGTGTAGCTTTGGCCCCGGAACTAAACAGCTCCTATTTTGATGCAGGAGTGGGATGCTATTAATGACCTTAGGACAGAAATGGCTAGGCTGCAACAGGGGATGAGTAATATGCAGAGAATGCTCGAGGCTTGCTTGGATATGCAAGTCGAGTTACAACGTGCAATTAGACAAGAAGTATCTGCAGCTTTGAATCGAACTGATGGAGGTCAGTATCACTTCTTGTTGTGTATATATACTTCTTGTTGTATATTATCATCTGCATTTTATATGAACAAAAGGCTTATGCTCTATAAAGCCATACCAAAATGAGTTGTTGGGAGTGTGATGTTTGTTTTTGGTATATTAAGTATTAACATGCTTTTATTTTCTTGGTCACTGTGATATTCCCTTAATGATCCACATGTTTATGTGTTGAACCAATCACATATTATTAATCTTCAGCTTTCTTCTGTTGACCTTTAAGTTCTTCACCCATGCACTGATGCAACAATTCCATTAGTGATTCTCTTTTCATCCTTTGATATGCATTGGTGACTAATGACCTATATTATTCTTATCACATGAATATGTTGTACTTCCTAGTGCTCTTTTGACCATGTACCTGTGTTTAGTACAAAAGCCTGTTTGGCATTGATCCAGTTATTATAAGTGCTTGAATTTAAAATTTTAGGCAATCCTCAATTTTGTTCCTTACATTCTGTTGTCGTATTTCTTTGGTTCACTTTGAAAGTTTGAAACATGTTCGGTGAACTTGAAAGCTGCCACTTCCAAGGAGGCAGTAAGCCTGTCGATGCAAATGAGCATCATCCAAGTCAATTACTAAGGTGTTTGAGTTCAGATTTCTATGTTACATAAATAGTTAAATTCCAAATTCAGGCCATGCTGAAGCTTGTGTTGTTTGTTGAGCATGACTGATAGATGTAGTGGGCAGCATCATGGAGCAGAAAATAATACAAAATTGTTATATATGCATATCAGTTTAGAGATCAAGAGTGAAGAAGCACAAAGGTTAGAAATATATATGTTTTTGGAAATGCAAATTCATTAAAAACAACAGATCCTTTATCTTTTCTCTAGTAACTGCATTCCCTTTTGATAAAAACTGGATAGAAATAGAAATATGTAAGATAGCCAGGTCTTGTTAAATATTTGTTGGCATATGTCTAGTATCATGAAGACACACCAAGTCTGCTGGGAAACTTTGGATCAAGAAAAAAAGGGACTGCTGCATAGCCTGGATAGACTCGTATCTGGCTCAAGTCTGAATATTACTGCTTTATTTGGAGTCATTAGGTGTCTCTCTGACATCAGGCTGCTTCATGTTTCAGGGCTCACCGGGGAATCATCGGAGGATGGTAGCAAGTGGGATCAAGTAAGGAAAGGGACATGTTGCGTTTGTTGCGATAATCATATTGATTCTCTCCTCTACAGGTCCCTTCCTCTTAAAATTCAGCTAGAATTAATGCACAAATACATGTGATACTCATATTTCTTTTTCCTCTGCGGCCTCAGATGTGGGCACATGTGTACTTGTTCCAAGTGTGCCAGTGAGTTGGTTCGAAGTGGAGGCAAGTGTCCATTGTGCCGTGCGCCAATCGTTGAGGTGGTCCGGGCCTATTCAGTGCTGTAAGGTCTCGGAATCTTGACATGACCAAAACGGGGGGAAGCAAAGGCTGCTGGGTGTCACATTTTGAGTGGTAATTGTTAATAAGTGTCGAGTTTTGTGTTGTTAACCTTTGTTTCTTCAAAATATTTTTCTTTTTTCTTGGGTGGTGGTGTCTTGGAGCAGCAAAAAGAAAAGAAAAAAACAAAAAAGAAAAGGAAAAGGTATCGAGTGGACTGATTGATTGGCACCGTGGATGCACTTTTGATGGTGAAATTGAAATTTATCAATGTGATTCTTTGGTTGTAATTGTGTTTAGCTGTATATTGAACGCTCCATCTGTAACGCATTTGGATTACCACGATGAATCATCCTTTTTTTTTTTTTTTTGGAGATCTAATAAAACCCTCGCTTTGTGCCTCCTTTTTTTTTTCCCCTGTATATAACCGTGTTTTTTTCCATCTCCGATATTGTCTGCCTGGTTATCCTTTTCTGATAGTTCTCATATATATAATTTATTTGTTTCCGAAAGCCAATTGTATTATTTGTCACACCGTATGTCATCATCCGGTGCTATGGACTAATTAAACTATTAGTATCATTTTGTAGAATACATAAATTAATAATTATATAACAATCAAAATTTTATAAATTAATTTTAATCAAAATGTGAAAGTGATAGGAAATGCATTATTAGTTAATTATTATTCGTTCGACATGTAATCATCATTCGTCGGAAGGGATCGGGTCGGAAAACTTTTTTCAACTTCGATCTTCGTATATGTGGCATATCGAGAGCTCAACATTTTCACCTCGAAGTCATCTCATGGGTCTGGACCACTCCAGGCTGACCAAGGCGTCAACGATATTTTTCCTCATAATTTTAGCATTAGAAGGAGGGCTCGATGTCGTAGGAACACTTGTCCACCAACCCTCTCAACGAACGCTCGAGCAAGAAGGCTCTACTCTCTTCGTATTAAAATTTATTATGAACTGTGAAAAGGAATCTGGTAGGGATTGAAGCATAAGATCCACACACAGGTTATCCTCTAGGACCATTCCTAGACCTGTGAGTTTCTCTATCTGCTCAATCATCTTTAGGACATGGTTCTGAACCGGTGTCCTCTTAGTTATCCTAGCGCGGAAGAGACTCTTGGATATCTCATATCATTGAGTCATTCCTTGTTCCTTAAACAGTTTACAGATATGTAGGAGAATGGATCTGGTATTCATCTTTCATGATGTCTCTGTAACTCAAGAGTCATGGAGCCCAACATGTAACATTGAGCAACAGTAGAGTCATCTATATACTTCACGTAGCGAGCGATCTCATCCTCGCTTGCCCTTCCTCGGGCGTAGGCATAACTGTATTAGGACGTACGCGATTTTTTTCGCCATGAGAACAATTCTCAAGTTATAGAGTTAATCCGTATAATTCGAACCAGTGAGGCAGTTGACATCAAGTATACCACGTAAGAGATTTGAAAGCGATATTTTCTAAAAATAAAGATGTAGTAGAAATAAATAACATGCATATTTTACATAAAAATAAACAAATAAGATATGAACTTCTATTTTACTCCCGCTATTTTTCTAGCGAGTCACACTAAGCCCAAAAGGTAGGCAACTCTTACCGATCACAACTCCTTGTGATTCTTGTCTTGTTCAGCCTCCGAACCACCATGGTCTCGAGGGACTCGACCAACTATGATGTTCGGTTAAGTCAACACTATCGTTACAAGATGAGTCTGATTCGATGATATACCCTCAAGGGATTCGACCAAGTACACCATGTCCACAGGTCATCGGTGACTTTTCTATGTCATAGGCAAGATAGTGAATCACGATACAGGTGAGCCTCGAGGGACTCGACCAACTCAACCTATATCGAGAATCGGTTCCTACCTATAACCATGGAAGGTCACGTGGGTCAATCTAATTTTCTCACATTTACCGACTTAATATTATCGAGAGAGAAGATTTTGATTTAGTCTCCTAATATGACATGTCACACACATACATATTTAATGTATATCTATATCACATGCAAATATATATACACATTTGGTATGTGTACAAGCAATTCACATATCACATGAGCAATCACACCAGATGATCGTGGACCACAACCTAATGTGATTAAGCCCGAACTAGTGGGCCTAATCACTCACGTCAAGATCTATGTGTACAACGGTGTATCTTCATGCCCTGTGATCGCCCATCTCGTTCTCGTCGTCATCCCGACGCATCTCCATGCATCGTGATCGTCTGTCTCGGCCTCATGGGTCCCACTATCGTTTTCACACTCTCGCTGCGCCTTCTCATGTGATTATAACTTAATCATAGGCACACAGGCCTAACAATAAATAAGAAATAAAGTGATGACTCACAGGCCCCAATAATAATAATAATCACAAGTACACACATATCATATGGTCCATGATTATCTGTCCACATCATATATCACAGGTAAATATCATTATGTAAGACTACTAGATAATAATAATAATAATAATAATAATAATAATAATTAAATATTTTAATTAATTAATATTTTTGAATTAAGGATATATATAGGGAATTTTTTAAATTATGAGGGGTATTTTGGTGATTTAAACAAAGGACGGAATTCAAAATTTCTCAAATTTCTTGGGGCAAAACTATCTTTTGCCAAGAACCCTACTGCGCCTTCTCCTTTGCTATGATGCAGCTACCACCACCTTGCCGGCAATGGCTGTTGTAGGGTTGGGGTGGGGCGGGGTCGTCGCCTATGCACGAGGTCGACGCTACCCCTGCGAGCGAGTGCCCCTGTGGGTGAGCGTCGCTGCTGGCGCGCCCGTAGGCGTTGACCGCCCTTGTGGGCAGGCCGACTGCAAGCGCCACCTACCCTTGCGGGCACCATTGCAGGCGAGCTGCCTATAGTTGGCCACCAACAACCAACCGCCTACAAGCAAATTGCCAACGTTGCAAGTAGTGTTTGGCCACTTCTGCGAGGGCAGCAAGGGCATCAACAATTGCTGCCCTTTCTCGCCTTTTGCGTCAATGATTTTGACGTTAAAAGTCTTCCTAAAACATAACACAATTCAAAACCAATCTTTCACACGAACAACTTGTCTTTGATACCACCGTAGGGAAATCTTGGGGATGACATCACATGCGCAGTGGAAGAACAGAAAACAAAAATCTCAAATTTCCCATAAATTGTATTCATCATCATGTGAAGATTGATGCGCAAAATCCATAAAACTGAAAAACTGCGTATATGAAAGATTGTGTTACATAAGGAGATCGTATATCCCTGAATCCCTATAGATCTATAGGAGAGGGTGAAGGAGGTCAAGCGTCATTCTCTCTAGCGGTGATCCACATAGCAATGTTGCGATAACGCTTCTCAAATCTCCAAGCCTGCTATCAGAGGAGAAGGGAAGAGGAGAATAGGAAGTGGCAATTAAGAGAAACTCTAGCCCATGAACCTTTAATTCCCTCCTATTTATAGAGGCCCCATATCAACTAAACCCTAATGGATTCTGCTCTATTGGGTATTGGATCTCCATCCAACTACCCAAGCCTCTTAGATTAGTGGATCTCTATCCAATAATCTCTCATTGGCTCTTATTGGATCACATTCATATGATCCAATAATTCAGGGGCTTATTGGATATCCAATAAGATATGGGCTCTGACGGATATCTCATATTTGAACCTCTACTAGTCGTAATGTCTACCATATGTGTGTGACCCTCTAGGCCCAATATCGAGTTAGCCGTGAGTCATACCTGTTAGAACTTCTTTTGGCTTAGTGAATTAATATCTCCATAATAATTCACTCGACTTATCGACTGCGGACGTACTATGCCACTACGTCGTAGTCCCCAGACGATACGGGGGAATTCAATCTATTAGACCTGATTGTCCTCAGTTACTATGTACCTATAGTCCTTTATTCATCTAATATCTCAAAGACTATATACCGGGCATGGTATTGTCAGACCCATACGGTTTCTACTCTAGTTTCACTCTAATCGGATTCTCTTAGAGAATATTTCTCTCTCAATCTGAATGACCCTAACCAGGGATTTGTTTGAGCAAAAACATATGTGATATTCCTCTCATGACACTGAGAGTGGATGATTCTCTATTGACACTTAAGAGTTCTCGTAAGGTTGGCTACCACTCCCGATGATCGGTTATGCTAGATTTGAAATTTTTAGACCTATAAATCTAGTATCAAATAGTGGAGTATTCATACAGGACATCCTTGGTATCTCAAGTCTAAGGACTAGATATACCACTAAGACTATGAAATTGTTGTCTGACAATAAGGCATCATTAGCCATTCAGCATTCCGTGAGCGGATCAATTAGTGAACTCATTCTCCAATGAGCACCGTATCCCTAGTATCCCCACACAAGCAGTTATGCGACCAGCCGCCTCCATCATATGTACGTGTATACATTACACCATTTTTATCTGGTTATCTCAATGTCTCTCTCGAGTAACCTATGACTAGGATTATTTAGGGTATGTGTTTAAAGGTGAATCGATCACATTATCGTGATCTCATCACGATCTGATTCCAATTGCACATATATATGAACATCAGAATATATTCATACAACAAACAATATAAAGTGATAAAATGTCAATATATAATAAGTAAAAAGAGTATGTATCATGTCACACGTGTCATCACTCACGTGATTGGCTTGTAAGGCACCTATGACTAGCACTCGAGACATGTGAGTCGGAAAAACTTGACCCGTGTGAGGAGGTCCTGAATGCACTCGTGTTCGATGAATAAATCGTCGCACTTCAAACTCCTCTCGCAAAAGCCCCAAAGCATGATTAGGGGAGAGGGTACAAATGAAAGGGAATACACTATTGACTAATCATTATCTGACACGTAACTATCACATGGAGTTCTCGTTGGGAGGAAAAGATCCAGTTCACTATTCACCTGTTTGTTCGCATGGACACGAGTCCAGGTCTAGAGCAAATAGTTCGGAGTTGTTCCCCCCTTGTCACCCACTTGGACAAAAGGCCAAGAGGGGATTGTTGGGGGCGATTAGAGGCTCCCTTTTCGTAAAATATTTTATGAAATATTATTTTTATTAGATATAGAAACTCATCTTTACTAGGATAAGAGAAAACTTACTTTTTCTTTTACTATTCGTACTCATACATTTCGGATTACTAATACGTACATTTCGAATTATTAATATGGACATCAAAAGGACCGAGTTTGAAAACCTCTTTCAACTTCGATCTTTGTACAAGTAACACTTTGAAAACTTAACGTTTTCACCTCGGACAATCATGCACATACTAGTCTGAATCACATCGGGTTAATTAAGACATCAATAATATTTTTCAGATAAATTATTATTATTATTAAAGCTAATGCTGGAACTGGGTTACTAAGAGTGTTCATCGAACGAAGTGGAACCAACTCGGGTTCACTTTTGGTACTCAACCACGGCGTAGAACGGGTCCAAGTAGATGGCCCTAAAGGCGGTGAATCCGACGACGCCGCCAAGCTGTCGGAACTCCTCCTCGGTGCGTTCTCTTCCCAGCGTCCGGTAGATCGCCATCACAAAGATGTCGCCCTCCAGCAGCGCCCGCGTCCTCCGGCTGTTGTCGGTCTCCACCGGTAGCACCGGCTCACAAGCGATCACCTTCCCGCCCTCTGGCAGCGCGTTGTAACAGTTCCTCAGTATCGCCGTGCACTCCTCGTCCGTCCATGTCGTCAGCACCCACTGCACGCAGTTCGCAAGAAGGGATGACAAGTTGGCATCAGAGGAGAGAGAGGACAAAACCTTAACAAGTCTGCCTGCAATTGGTTAAAGCTAGCACATAAATTTGGACAACACAAAATACATGTTTTCCGAAAATGAAACAATAGATGTAAAAAAAAATCAAGATAATGTTGATGCCACTAAATAAATAATAAAATGTCTTAAAAATATTTTTTTGTTGAAGAAAATGCATCATGGTTTTACCTATAAATTAAATGGGATAAGCTACAATCAAAATTTATGTTTTAGTTTAGTAATGGACGACATACGGCTATGAAACCCAAGCCCAAATTTAGCACTGTATTCGTACCTTCATGAAGATGGCATCGCCAGTGGGAATGGATTCGAACATGTTCCCACCCACATGCGTCACCCCTGCAACTCCACACAGACAAAACAAGAAGTGAGTCATTGGAACCAAACTATTTTTCTTGCTCAGACGTAATTGAAATAAAAAAAGCTACAGATGGACTTTTAATCTCTATCCCTCCACTTGCATTCCAACAATCAATTGATGTGCATAAGGGAAATCTTGTATCATATGAACGTCTTGTGCTTGGCGGTGTCACATCCACCACCCACCATGGGGGACGTGTCTTCGTCCATCTCGCCGGAGACGCCGGCGAAGCTTCGACGAGGACAACGGATGACCGTAAGTAACTAGGGCAAAATCAAGATTCGTTGCATCTCACTGGCCCTGATGTTGTTCGACGAAATGCCTCAGCATCCCACGCTTCGACAAAGCCGACAGAACCCACTTATCATGGCCCAACACAACACGTGGCCCGTCTTATGTGCCCCCGAAGTTCTCCCAATTACGCACCTTCGTATATGGACATAGCTATAGTGTGAAGAAGGGATCTCATAGCAGTAAAAGCGGAGAGTAGGCGTGAAACACTTTAGCGTGGGGTGGATAAGGCGGCTAAGATGTGCCGGGAGAGCGTGGGGGGGGTGTGTTAGAGGACTACCGGCCAACGGCGGCGCCTCGGCGACCACCTCTGGCAGATCGAAGTTGATGCCGCGCTTGACGGAGGGGAAGCGTCGCATGATCATGTCGAGGCAGGCGCCGGAGCTGCCGCCGACGTCGACGAGGGTTTCCACGCTCCCGAACCCGGCGGAGCCGTACCCGTCGAGGAGCGCCTCCATGAAGGGTTCCGACACCCCCCACATGGCTCGCTGCATCAGGGCGTTGGCCTCGCGGTCGCCGCCGTAGTAGGCGTAGGCGGGCACCCCGCCGTTGGCGCGGGCGAAGGGCTCCGGCCCGGCCGGGTCGAGGACGGCCTCGTGGAGCCGCGGCCACGCGCGGACCAGCGCGTCCTGGTGGTGCTGCAGCACGTAGGCGGCGTAGGAGGCGCCGTCGCCGGAGGGGACGAGGGTGCGGCCGACGTCGGTGAGGGAGTAGCGGCGAGCGCCGGAGGTGGCGCAGCGGTTCTCGGCGAAGACGCCGTGGCTGGCGAGGAGGCGGAGGAGGCGCTGGAGGACGGACGGGTCGGAGGAAGAGGGCGGCGGGGGGCGGAGGAGGGCGAGGATCTCGGCTGCGGTGAGGGGGGAGTTAGATCCGGACTGCCAGATGGCGTCGGGGACGTTGAGGCGGACGACGGCGTTTAGCGCCATGGGGACGGAGATCATGTTGGCGAGCTCCATCATCGCCAGCCGACCCTGCTTTCCGACCTCCGACGTCGGATCCTCTCGACCGCCACCGCCCGCTGCCGCCATGAGAGACCACGAAGATGGATGAGGGCTGAGTAGTTAAACCATCCCATTCTAGCCAAGATGGATGAGTCCCGTCACCGGCACTAAGGTGACTCCCACTTACCGGAGTCGATTGCGTGCCGCGGCGGACCGATGAGAGGACGAGGGGAGGTGAGCGGACCCACTCACGAGATTCACGCCTCGCAACTATTAATGGAAGAAAAAATAATTAAAAAAATAAGGTGGCCAACAATTTTATTAATTAATAAAATAATTTTATTTATTGGAGGAGAGTTGAAGTAATTTATTTCTCGGCACAATTTGGTAACACGTCCACAAACAACCGTCCACAGCCACATTAGTGCCCGTGAAGAGCTTTGAAGTTGATACGACGGACCACGTCATTCGGGTACAACATCAACCCGTAAAGGTTGGGACAACGTCACTTCGGTATGATGCCACTCCACAAAGAGTGGAACGACGTCGCTCGGGTATGACGCTACTCGAGTATGACATCATCTCGCGAAGATAGGGACGACACTGCTCGAGTGTGATGCTGCCCCGCAAAGACAAGGACCGTAGCATCGCTTAAGTACGACGTCGCTCGATGCTAATCCACGCAGGACAATCGATATGAGCACTAAGGGTATGGGTTCACCGCTTAAGGGGTCGACGGCCATTAAGAGGCTGGGTACAACCAAACCCCATGGACAGGCATAAAAACCCATCGCCTGAATCAACACATGGGAGGGTTTTTTTTTCGCTCAAGCACTATACTCTTACTCATCCAAAAGCTAACTTAAACTTCGAATGGGTCGAGTTGGGAAATCCCCCTCCCGACCTTGACTTATGTGCAGGAGCTCAATGACGAAGAAGCAAGCCACCTGCCAAGGGAGAAGATCACCCTCGGGAGACGAGACTCGAACCCGACCTGATCTGACGCTCAAGCGTCAACGCGAGAAACCCTACGTATCGAGGATTCTAAGACAGAGGGCTGCACCGAACACGGGATGGTCGACGCAAGCTCCTGAGACCCAAGTGCCAAATCGAGCAACCTTGCACATCTGGAGTCGAACATAGCCGTGCTGATTCCCCGGCCACGACGTAAGGAGACACTAACATTCCCTATAAATAAAACCAGCACTATCGTAACAGTGTCATCAGATCTATTGACCCAAAGTGGGAGAACAAGACAAACTCTAAATATAATCAATTCATTCAGTCCACTCTCCACGTACAAATGGATGAGATTAGATGACAAAGATTTGTGCTTGTGATTCAAAGTATGTGCAAGGAGGTCTCTGTTACAGCGAGTCGCAGCAGAATTGTCTTGTTTGGGTGTGTGTACTGCTGCAGTAGACTCAGCTCGCTGGCTCCAAGAATCTCCTCGTCGAGGGAGCAGGGAGAGATCCACGGCTCGAATTCCCATCACCCACGTGCACCGATGTTTATGGTGGGAATTTTGAAGTCCTCGAACGGCATCCTATGCCGATCCTTTTGTCTTGGGGCGGCGCCACCGCGTCATTTACCGTCAGACTGCTGCGATATGGTATCCTATGAGCTCCTGTCGGAAAGCACAAAGTGGTTTGGGTACATCTAACTGCGTCAGCCGAGGGCGAGCCATATTGGATAGTGATGTAGCCCACCATCGGGGTCTTCTTCATACTTTACGAGTGGAAGAGAGGGAAAGGAAGGAGAGCGAGGGGGGAGAGGAGAAGGTAGAGTCTCTCGGTCACGCTATAAGAGAGTAAGCTATGATTAGGGTTGGAGCGCGGCGTGACGAGGCAAAAGGTAGATCGGAGAAGATGTCAGCCTTGGGGCCGGAGTTGGCGCTGAGGCCTGTGGTGACGGTTCGGTCGATCGGAGAGGTAGACGATGGTGGTGAAGAGTGTCGCACACCGACCTCCGAAGAGAGCAAGCTTCCGTCGTCGTTGGCGCAGAGCTGCCCGCCGCCTGCGCCGATGAAGCCGAGGAGGGCATTGCGGTGTAAGCGAAAGCTATGGCCAGCGCCGGAGTTCATCACGGTGCGAGATGAGGAGATGGAGCAGCTGTTCGGATGCGCAAAGAAGAGAAGGTGTCAACAGCCTGATGATAACTGATACATATATGTACTCATTTGGTCTCCTTGTAAATTACGCTTAATCTACAGCGACGTGTTCTTTCTTTTTCCCCTTTATTTTCTTGATTGCAACCCAACCTATGTATGACGATCTCGATAAGGTTTTGAGAGTTCGATGGAGAAGGGGTGAAGAGGTGCCGGGGAAGGCGGGGATGGCTTTGTCTGCGTGCGGACGACGCCGCGTGTGGTGCGGTAGCAGTCAGGTTGACGAGTGTGAGATAAGGTTCGAGTCTCGGAGTTTGGCGTCTTGGACACGGCTCTTTGACGGTGGGGCTGCACGATGTGGTCTAACAGGCGACAGCAGTAGCATTGTCGATCCTGGGGGTGACACGTGGATCGTTGCGACCGGGCCCCACGGCATTTTGGAATTGCAATGGAGAGGCGACGCGTTTCCTGACGTCAAATTGCAAGGGAATCCGAGGTGTGGCGGTACAAATATGGCGCATGGATTGGTCCGTAAACAAACCCAAACTTAGGCAACCAACGGCCCACTGGACATTGGAACGATTCGTGTTCTGCTACAAATAGCCATGAAAAGCTTAAAAACCACCGTGAAATAGTCAATAAATGAACAAATTGCACTTATCAGCACTTAAAAAATGTTCAGATCCGAATAGTGAAATGAGAGACATTATGCATTTTATGATATTATCATATCAGCATAGTATTGATGTTTTGTAGATTGACTTATTTTTGCATGCGACAGATGCTACCTGTGTTCTTTGTTTGTTTCAGTGAAGCTCACGCTGAGATGTTCCTTCTTTTTCATCCCTTAGCACATTTCTCTTTGGCTCTCTAGCAAACAGTTGGTGTCCCCTGGAAACCTTGAGTTGGCAAACAGATCCAAAGCGGTAGTGGTCTTTCACAGAGATTGATCCACAAGTAATCAGGTGCATGATCATGTTTGCGGCTTTCAATTTTGATCCGGTTGGGAGGTAAACATCCTCTCCTTCCAAATTCCTATAGCCGTTCCTTCTGCTTAGTTCTGCTCTTATCAGGGATTGCAGTGTACTCATCTTTGCACATGAAGGAGAGGAAGGACCTGAAGATGTTGGTGGCTGTGAACTCCCTACTTTAACGATATTTGGGTCCTCCTTCGAACACATCAATCCACGATTTCTCCTTTCTTCTCCGTTGTCGATTTGAGTTGTAGCTTCCTGCGCTCCATCGGGCTTGCGGATCCTGGTTTCCGCCGATGGGGCGGTTATAAAACCAGGCGCTGGAGGAGGAGGAGGTGGTGGTGGTTGTTGCCTCAGGGGATGCTTTGCCTCCTTAAGAACAACGGCTGTTGTGGATGAAGAAGGGGAAGCTTCTTCGCCTTTGTGAGGTGGCTGTTGTAGAGGGTGTTTCAGGTTCTGGATCTTGACATTGGTGGTACCGTGATGGTTCCGATCTAAATCGAGCAATGCATCATTCAATCCGATCATAGCCTCTACCAAACAAAGAGAGATGTAGACGGACAATGTACCTGGAGGGGTTCGATCCAAGAGCTCCGAACCCTTGAGAACATACTCATCGCCCTGCTCCGGCAGGATCAGATCGCCCTCGGAAAGGTCCTGCCACACGAATCCGTTCTTGTAGCTCCTGCGCCAGTATGGTGTATCATCGGTCAATCAAAAACCTAAATCTAGGGTCTTTGCAGTTCCTAATTCTGCATGCTCTGTTACCTCTTGCAAGACCAGGAGTACATGGCCGCCATCCCCTTCCCTCGCAGCACATCGAGCCTGTCGACCACATCTACAAACAACCCAACCAAGAAATCAAGAAACAGAACACAGATGAAAGCTCCCCTTTTTATCCAACCAAGATCGATCCTTTTTACCTCTGAGGTAGAGCCCCGCAGGGGAGGAGAGCGGGACCTCCAGGAAGTGCGGGTGCTCGAGGTGGTGACTCCTGGAGAGGTAATACACCACCGAAACCTTTCTCCCCTCCAGCTGCTGCGATTGGTGCTTCGGTGGCGGCTCTGTCCGCAGTCTGGTTCTCTCCGGTCTGCCTTGCGCCGCGTGTCTTCTCATCCTCGCGTCCATTCTTGTCTCCTTCTTGGTTAACCAGTGCGGCGGCTGCTGCTTCTCATCATCATGCGTCGGGGTCTGTCGGCATTTAGTGGAGTGACTAGGGGCGGCAGGGAATTCCGTGCGGCTCGAGGGCCCAAAGTGGCCATCATGAACAGGAGGAGGAAGACGACATGGCGTACCACCACGTTGCACTTCAACCGGACAACTAGGTCTCTGTTTTGTTGTATCTAGTGTAGATGCGCTTGCTTTACATTGCTCGTCCTGGTTTTCAAGATGGGGAGTTCATGGACTGGGAAGAAGCTTGTGAACAGGGTTTGCTTGTTATTGGCAGATGTTACTAAGACTAAGAACAGAATCTGGAAAATTGTATCCTTTTTTATGGATTTTAAGTTGAGAGAGGTATATATAGTTCAACACCATTAGCAGTCCAGCAGGTATTGTGCCAACTTTTTCTCTTGTCAATGTCATTTGTTAAAGAGAGAATTAAGAGTTGATGTTTATCCTTCTCTTCACAGCTTCATATTTGCGGCAGCTGCATGCCCTTTATGGTGGTGGGACAAGATCTCAAGGACTTCTCACTGGTTTATTCTTCTTCTCAAAAGTGGATGCTCTCTTCCTGTGGAACCACTCTGAAACCCTCTTTGTTTCACTTTGCAGGCTTGGCTATGCTATGCACCAATGGACACTGGAGAGAGAGGCTGCAGTGTGTGTAAAACAGAGAATAAAGCACAAAGTGTGAGCTTTACAGGTGCTTTTGAGAAAGTGTGCAGCACTATCATGTCTTCCAATGAGGTAAAGTATACAGAGGTGCCTTTGTACTCCTTTTCTAGCTTTTGGATCTCCTCTTGAGTTTAAACTTAATCATGAAGGTAGAGAAGTAGAAGAAAGATAAATCTAAATTGATTTGTACATCATAAGGTAAGAAAATTCATCAGATTTGATGTCGACTAGAGAGAGGAAACTGCAAACACAAAGCCAACAATATTACTTATCATGTTAGATGTCAATTAGTCTGAATGCCTGCCTTTATATTTTTTAATAACTTTAAAAGGGTATGATATCAATTTAAATTTTAAAATTAATATACATAATTACATATACACAGGTATTTGAGATTCAGAACAATATATACTAAACTTAAATTTAGAGAAGTACATATAAATGGTTGTAAAATAGGCATATATAGGTTTGTGGGTAATGGCATACCTATTCTCCAATTGCCATCTATACACAATCTTCCTTTCTCTTTATATTATAGGACCAATTCCAAGAAAAGAACTTTTTTTTTTTTGAGTTTTTCTCAACATATATCCCTTTTTCATATTTCTCAATCGATGTTCTTTTTACCATATTTTCTAGAATACCTTTAATAAAGAGATGGTAGCAACTCACCTCAATTTTTACGGACTAATCCATCGAGTGAACCCATCCAATTCAAAAACACTGTAGCTGACGTAAAAGTCTCCATTTTTTATTGTTCTAGTTCTTAAACAAATAATGATAATTAGTTAAAATATTATTATTTTTTAAGTTGGAATCTATTAACTTTTTGAGTCAATTGGCTTAGTTATAATGTTTTCGAATAATCTTTCGCTCGAAGTTTCGGTGATTTTTGCTGGGGATTTTGGTTCCTGTAGTCATAAATTCCCGTTCTTCGACCGGATATGAGCTGTTCTTGCCGAAACTGGTTCGTGATTTGGTGGAATTTCCGGGAGTTGGGGAAGGTTTGGGGAAGTCTGTCCTCTTTCGGATTGAGGACGAGGAAGCGATGAGCGTAGTTAGTAACAGCGTGGAGACGGTGAATGCAGCCACGGCGGCGATTGCGTTCGCTGGGAGCCGAGTCCAGCAAGTCAGCGTTCCGGTTTGTTATCATCTTCTTGTTGCATATTGCTCTTTGCGTTTTAGGGTTTTGATATGGTTATTGATGTTATGTTCTTAAAGCTTAATTAATTCAGATTTGTGATAGGCGTAGAATACTACAGTAACATTTTTTTGTAGTTTAGTAATTTGAATGATGTATTTGTTCTAAAAGTGCTTCCGTTCTGATCAGGTAGTATCTATTAGTCACACAACTACTTCTGTTCTGAGCACGTAGTATCTCCAGTGAGGACTGTTTCAACAGTGTCTTGTTTATTAGAAGTGATTTGAGCTAACTGTTTAGTTTCTGTAATGATTATGCAATACTGATGTACTCATTTCTAATGTTTGATTTTTCTGATGCTATGCTGCTCGAGGATATTGGAACTTATCATAAATAAATTAAATGGAACAGTTGGGGGAGATGATAAGCCATGTCTCTGCTTATCTTTAGAGGGAATGGGGGTTTTGTGGATACGAAACAAGGTTTTAAATGAACAACCACAAGAGATAGTTACCAATTATTTGGATTTAGTAGTCTGGACACTTCTGAGCTGTGGCGCTCTGTTAAGGATAATATGTCTGGTACGTTCATGTAATTAAAACTATTTTGTAAAAAGATAAATAGTTCCCAGATATATAATTGTCAAAAAGTACAATTATAAAATTTTTATAGTGCACCACATTTTTCTTCTTTTCTCATTTACATTTACTTTTCTTTTAAGCAACTTAAGTTTTTTGTTTGATTTTTGGATTGAAACTATCAATAAACCATGTATGAAAGAACATGGTCGATGTTATGGGAAGATGTCGTTGATGCCATGGTTAACCCGAAGTGGTTTTGACTTATGTGCAAGAAAGATTTTCCGACTTGATCATTCTGACTTATGTGCAAGAAAGATTTTCGGACTTGATCATTTCGATGCTCAAGTTAATAACCGGAAGAAGATGAGTGTGGTGGTGAGCAGTAACAACTGATCTCCTTCGTAATTGTGTTAAAAATGAATTCTTACACTTACGATAGATGGACAAAATATTCTACGGAGAAATAACTCTTAACCACCCCTAATAGTCTATCTTAACAACAAGAGAGGAGACAGAGACAACCCATAGTTGTTTGCTTTGGACTCATGTCCCTGTGGATAGACAAAAGGAGTTTGTCACATATGCAAACACATGTTGGACGATCATTGGCCTCAATATTCACCCCTATCAGCCAGAAAATATGATATTTAGAATGTCAAAACTTTTTTTGGGAAGGATAATGGATGGGTAGATCCCACACCATGAGAATTCATTGCGTAAAAATACTTCATGTAAATGTGGTACTTGGGTAAGATATCTTAAACTAGATGGTTTTTCTATGGAAGCAGCAAGGCACTGATATCTACATAGTGTAGGGAACTCTGATTTCTGCTTGTGAAAGTTAATGTGATGATAGTGTTAGAGAAATAGCTTCAGTTTTGGATATCATTATCGTTTATTTGTTGTTTTAATTACCAGGGAAGAAGGTGGGCTACCTAGCTTGGCATGTACCGGTGCTTCAGATCACACAGAAATGGTAAGCTTATCGGCCATGCAATCCTTGTTCATTTCCTATGTCAGATGCTGCTGCTGCTGCTGCAACCGAAAATCCAAACCATCCACCAGAAGTGAGGCTTCCATTTGTTGCACCACCTTCCTTTCTACCATCTTCGGTGCAATCACCTGCAGGACCTCTATCTCCATCTGCTCTTTCACCGAGTTCCTATTCTCCAACTGGTCCATCTTCCATCTTTTGCCAAATTGTTGACCTCTTCCCTCGATGCAAGCTGCAAGAAAAGTGAGGCCTATGGAATTTCTGTCCTACCAGCTTTGTCCTGGAAGCCCAATGGGTCGTCTCATTTCACCAAGTTCAGCATATTCAGGCACATCGTCGCCTTTCACTGATCCTGAATTCCATTCCCGTGCTGGTGGCTCCTTCCAATCATTTCCTATCCGTGAACCACCAAAAATCTTGAGCGCTGAGGAAATTGCTGCATCACTAGTGGACTCTGCTATTGTGCCTAGAAACAATGAACACACAGTGGATCAGAGAGTCTCATTTGAACTTGCACGCTGCTTGGCAACCTCAGGTGAAGGTTCCTCAGATGCATCGACAGCAAGAAATGATGGAGCCCTACATTCTAGTGTCGCAGATAACGGTAGGAGAATTGGTGTTGATGATGTCTACGCTGCTATTGTTCCCCTCAGTTAAAGAATTCAACTTTGATAATTTGGATGGGTTCAGATGGTGACCGAGCATTCGAAGGGTTGGGCTGTTATCTCAATTATACAGCCAGGTGTAAGCTAATTGGCCCTTTCACTCGTTTCCTCGTATCTGTCATCTGTCTTAAGGGTTCTTGTTTCCTGCTTTACCGACAGCCATGTCCGGATGAGAACCATCTGTGAGTATCTTTCCTCAGGTGCATGAATTTGACTGCCAGACTTGATACATGAGGCCTTCTGTCATCTGCATCAGGTAATAAAGAGATGATTTTTATGTCTCTCGATCGAACTGTTTTATACTTCATACTACTCTTGTCTTATTGCTGACTAACATATCAGAAACAGCAGTCAAAAGTCTCAAGTTGTAAAATCATTTTTCTTATGCCAGAATATACTCCTAGGAGCTTCAATATATATACTGTCTCACTTAAGTTTATCATTACTGAGACTTTGGTAAATCTGCATGGCCCTCCCTTGCTACAGAACAGAGAATGAGGGAGGTGGGCCAAGTTGAGAGATCCTTCTCTGTAACAGGTTTGGTTGATGATCAGTGTAATTTGGAGGGGGCCTGTGACTTTCATCATCAAGAAAACTTGTACAAAACTGGACCTCTTTGCAGGAGATGCCCTCAGGTCAGAGTTAGGCAGATGCTCCTCATTGATTTCTCTGTAAAGAAAGCTTTTGAAGACTCCTTTTCCCAGTACCAAAAGCATATATTTTTCATGATGCATCTCCCCCAACCCTAATTGTGGGTCATGAGATAATTTATATCATGTTTCCTTGCAATCTATTTTCTTCAGATTGTCAAAATCAGGTACATTTACTTCTCCTTTTATCTTTCTCTCCTTGTCTCTCAAGTTAGCTTATGTTCATCAATTCTTTGGTCCATATCCTTCTTCTCCGTTAATCTTTAATTAATCTTAGATCTCCCTGAACCATATGAAGTCAATGCGACAATCTTCTTCCAGGTCTGTTCTTATATGTATGTCAACATTATGATGTATGTCACGACTATGGTGATAAATACACGACAAAGTAGGTATCTTATCACAATAGAAAATTTTGATACATGGATAGATGTATGTCGCCAATGTGGTCATAATGATTTATTTTTTAAAAAAATTACTTCAGAAAAAATGCCCATATTTCTTGACTAAATCCCATGAATGAGGTCAAGTGTAGCCCAAGTTCTAAGTACTACCCATTCCCTGTCAATGCCGATCACTCAAATTATTCATTCCTCCATTAAAAAAAGAAAGAAAGTAGACAAAAGCTTCAAGACAACGCGAGGAATAGAGAGAAAACACAGCATGGGCATATCATGAGACTGTAGATAACACACCACCAGATCTTACCTTATACATGTAAATACCATCATCAACATGTGAGAACGGAAAAGCATGGGAATAAGGTCGAAGAGAAAACCAAGTGGTTGGATTTATTGAGATCGGGATCGCGGCGCCCTTAGAAGTCATCTCCATCGTAATCCCCATCCTCGGCCAGATCGTCCTCCACCCTCTCCGTCACATCGTCGGCGATCTTGTCCTCAACGTAGTCGACTCCCTCCGCCAGCGCCAGCCCCCCAAGAAGCCCCGCCGCCGCCCCCACCGCCAGCCCCGTCCCCATCCCGAACTTGGACTTACTCTTCTCCTGCTGCCCGTACGCCACCGGCGGCTGCTGAGCCCCGTAGGCGTACCCCCCCGCCGGCGGACCCCCATAGGGGTACCCCGTCGGCGGTTGCGCGTAGGGGTACCCCGTCGGCGCCGTGGCGTAGGGGGTCGGCGTGTAGGGGGGCGGCGCGTAGCCGTAGTCCCTCGAGGAGGCCTGGCCGTAGGGCGGGGCGTAGGCATCGTAGTATCGGGCCGGCTCCTTGACGGCGACCGTGACCTCGAGCTTGCCATGGGGGCGGCCGGAGGGGCGTTTGAGCTTGAGGGTACGGTTGAGCTTGCTGCCGAGACCGACCTCGTCGAGGACGTCGCGGAGAGGGAGGCGAACGGAGCCGACGAGGGGCTTGACACCCTCGCCGGAGCCGGCGTGGACGACGTCGAGGGAGAGGGTGGCGTCCTCGAGAGGGAGGCCATAGGGGAGGGGGAGGACGAGCTTCTCATCCCAGATGGGATCATCGTCGTCGCCGCCGACGGCGACCTTGGTGGAGCTCTTGGCGGCGGGATCGACCCAGGCGACGACGTAGGGCTTGAGGTCACCGTGGCGCCAGTTGACGTTCTTGAGGTTGCGGGCGGAGGCAATGTTGAGGTCCACCTCGTAGCGCGCGGCCATGGCGGGCCTTCTCGGCAGTCGCAACGGAAGAGTAGAAGCGAAGGGAAGCGGGGAACGGGAAAAGTCAGTTGAGAAGGTTAGGTTGGGTGGGAGAGGAGCGTCGTTTATAGGGAAGTGGGCTACTGGGGTAGTGATCGCGACCGGGTGAAACCGAGGTAGGTGTATGTGGGACGGTGAAATCCCATAGAAGTACCGGTCGGTGAACGAAGTCGTCCCTCGAGTTGGCGATCTCAACACGAGAGAAAGGTGGGGCATCGATTCGTGTCGCGTTGGGTCCGTGGACCGGGAGCGGGTGGGGATAAGTTCCCGGAAGACGCGAGAGTGTGGGGCCGGCCGTTTTTGGGCGTGACTCTTACGGTTCCTCTTTCCAGTATATAGGAAGAGGAGAACAACATGGGCGAATATTCTGCACCGCTATTATTATTATTACTTTCTGCACCGTCATTGTTATTGTTATTGTGTTGCGTGCTCGGGCAACGCGGGATTGACGCGCTATGGAGGCATGGTCTCTCCATGTAAAAGCCTGCAACAGTAGCTCCCACGAGGCCCGCTTGTATATGGGGCATTCGGATCTGTGTTCTTAACGGATGATATCCAAGATCCTATTAGCTATCAACGTGAGCATCCTGTGTTCTGCCGCAAAACCCTCGATCAATGGCGGCGGCCCGTGGGCTTCTCACGACGAAGCTGCGCAAAGGTCTGCTTGATAGATACTGATTTCTTTGTGCTGCCTTTCTCTCTTTTGTTCGTGGTAGCCTATATCGTTAATTTGGTCGTGCCTTTCATCTCGACTTCTGCTCGTAGTTGTTCTTGATGACGTGCTTGGGGTTTCGTTGTGGGGTTAGTCTTGGTTGGACCATTCGTAACTTTCTTGTTCATCCGGTCAATTGGGGTTTACTCGTAGCTTTCTCTAAAAAATGTCATTTGCTATCGCGGAGTTAGGTGCCATGGCATGATGGTTCTGCTGCCCACAACAAATGGTCTTCTTGCCCATTGACTAAGAAAACGAAACATGATGGTTTTGCTGCCCACCTTTAAAGTGGGTGATGGGTGATCTCTGTCGCATTCGCATTTCATCGAGCAGGTTCTCCTCTTCCACCAGCCATGGCGTCGTTGCCGTCGTCCGTCACGGTGCTCGACCGGTTCCAAGTGTCCCCGCCCCCTGGCTCCGCCCCGAACGCCTCCCTCCCTCTCACCTTCTTCGACGTCGTCTGGCTCCCCACCGGCCCCGTCGAGCGCATCTTCTTCTACCCCTTCCCCCACCCCACCTCCCACTTCGTCTCCCACCACCTCCCCTCCCTCAAGTCCTCCCTCTCCCGCGCCCTCCGCCACTTCTACCCCTTGGCCGGCCGCGTCGTGCCGCCTTGCGGCCCCTCTCCCGAAGCCAAGTTCCAGATCCGGTGCTCGGACGGCGACTCCGTGTCTCTCACTCTGGCGGAGAGCTCTGATGACTTCCGACAACTGTCTGGCGACCAGCCGCGTGGATTTGGCAGGGTGTACGGCTTGATCCCTCAGTTGCCGCCCACCGGCGACGGTTCTATCCCCCTATTAGCGTTGCAGATCACGGTGTTCCCGGATCAAGGCGTCAGCATCGGCGTCGCGGTTCATCACGTGGCCTGCGACGATTCCAGCTCCATCCACTTCGTGAAGTCATGGGCTGCTGCTGCCGCTTGTAGCGTAGAAGATCCATCCGAGTCTCCGCTTTCGCCCCCTCCTCTCTGCGACCCGACCGTGATCGCAGATCCGGATGGATTGTACTACAAAATTCTCACGGAAATGCAAAATCTGAAGTCAGCCGGACCACCTCCGGCGCCGCTCGACCTGCCTCCCGTCGGCACGGAGCAGGGCGATGCGGTCATTGCCTCGTTCCTGATCGGGCGCGAGCAGATCGACCGGCTCAAACAAGGCGCCATGGCTAGAGCCGGCGCGACCCACGTCTCGACCTTCGTGGTGGCATGTGCCTTCGCTTGGGCGTGCCTGGTGAGAGCTCAAGCCGGCTTCTACGCCGGCAAGAAGAGCGCCCATTTACTGTTCTCGGTCGAGTGCAGGGGGCGCCTGGAGCCGCCGGTTCCAGCGGGCTACTTCGGCAACTGCCTGAGGCCGTGCTTCGTGGAGGTGTCGATGAGCGACCTCATCAAAGACGACGGCGTCTTCGCGGCGGCGGAGGCCATCGGCAGAGCGATCAAGGGGTTGGAACACGGCATTCTCAAAGGCGCAGAGGGATGGCTTGAGAAGATCGTTTCTCTGACGGCCGAGCGGCCCATGTCGATCGCCGGTTCACCGAGGTACCGCGTTTACGATGCAGACTTGGGGTGGGGAAGGCCAATAAAGGTGGAGATGACCTCGATCGAGAAGACGCCGGGCACCGTGTCCCTCGCGGAGAGCAGGGATGGAGGAGGAGGGATCGAGATGGGTTTGGTGCTCCCAGAGAAGGACATGGATGAGTTCGCTCGTGCTTTCCTTGTGGCCTCGAGCTTTCTTGAAACATGATCAATATATGATGGTTATAATATGTGGATTTCGATGATATGTGTGCCTATAAATAAATAGCAAAACCTCTTCATAGGCAATGTGGAACGTTCATCGAAGTTTGAGAGTCCTCTGTGACGAGAAAGGCATACGCTATACTAGAAAGGGCAGATTACTGGCAGCGGCCGCATCCCCACCGGGATTGGGATGCATCAAAACCTGCGGTGACGCCAAGGCTCTCAGCCCACGAAGTCATGGAACATCTGTGCCCCCAAGTGCCTCATCTGCGGCGGCGTCTGCTGGCCGCCCTCGTGCCTCAGCCCCAGCGTCAACGACACCGCCTCGATCCCGCCCATGTCCATGGCGTGCTGGTAGGTGGCGAAGCTCATCAGCCCCCCGTCCATGCCCGTCAGCATCTCGCACTCTTCCACCCTCGACCTCTTGTCGCCGCCCTGCCAAGCCTGCTGCTGCGACCCCTCCTCGTTCAACAGTACCGCATCCATGGGGGCGCAATCCGGCGGGTCGTGATACGTCGACGAGTGCGCTCCGTCTTCCGTCACGGCGACCATCGTCTCCTTCCCGTTGGTGGCGGAATTGAGATCCATTCCGCTCATCCCCTTGGTCTCCAGCATGTGGATCTCCTCTATCATGGGCTTCCACAGCCTCACTCTGGCATTGATGAACCAGTTCGACACCTGCATCCCATCACGATCATCGGACCACGAATCAAACGCCGATCACATATTCTAACTCGTGCGTGACGGAATCCATACCTGATTCCTGGACAAGCCCGTCTGAGTTGCTAACATGTGCTTATCGGTGTCGGTCGGATACCTGAACGAGACCGAGCTTAAACTACATTTAGTTCTCCCGGTGAAGATGAAGCTGCGGATAAACGAAATGGGGAGACGCTTACGGGTGAAGGAAATGCTCGAACAGCCATGCACGGAGAACGGATACGGCACGCTCCGGTAGACCTCTCTGCGGCCGCCAAACCGGCTGGTTGTGATCCACGAAGCTCAGTGTGCTTTCGCCACCAGCCTTGTGTTTCCGAAGGAGGCTTTGATCGAGGTACTTGAGCCGCGGGGGGGTTGGCGTCGATTCCCCTCGACCACCGGAACTGGGTGATGACATGAGTTCCTCCCCGAGAACTTTGCTTACGTGCCGGATCTGATCTGAGATCGCGTTCTTTAAGCTCCTGAAGTGCTTCGAGATGGCCTTCAGCGCCAACGACGTGTAGGGCGTGGCGGAATTGAGGCCGGCCACGGACTCGAAGGAGGAGACCACCATTTGCATTTGTTGGTGGTACTGCTTGTATCTTCTGCAAACCTTCACATTTGAGGCACCAACACTTAGCACATCTATAGAAGTTGCATGGATGCATCCAAAAAAAGCCTAACTTAGCAGCTTAGACGATAATGCTGACATAGAAGACGATGTTTCTCCCAACATTATCATGCATAAATCTTCGAAATAATATTTATCTATGAATCTAAGGTTGCTATCCAAAAAAAGAAAAAATTGAGGGAAACTTTCACAACATCAAATAATGACACGAATTCGAACCGACGATCTATGTTGGTTTAAATCTTGCTTCTAATAACTTGCATAAGCTATGCACATTAGTTAATAAAAATGAAATGTTTTAGCCAAAGAAGGACCATAATGCTCAATTCTAGATGAAACTTGAGATCAACAAACACAAGAGATAACATCCACAAACCTTTGTTACGCAAAGAACAATTTCCATTATCACAGTTATAGGGTGTTGCAGTAGTAGAACTCTTTATAACCCTAATGTACCACCACAACATCAACGAATCCAAAGCAGTAGAATGACTGACCAATAGTCAAACATAATTCTTGCATTGCATCTGTTCACAACCAATTAGCCTAATTTCTAAATTTAATTATCAGAAAACAAAAGGTGTTTCTGATTATTAATTCATTCTTCTGAGGATGAAACAATCATGATCTATGGCAGATTAAGAATGGCATGCATGATCCAACATAAAGGATCCAAAACCACCAGAAATGCCATCCTCTCACACTGTTCATCAACCCAGCAGAAAAAAAGGATGAAAGAACAGGCAGAGAGAGAGAGTGAGTGGGTCGGGTCGGTAAATGGATCCAAGAATAGGGCCGAAATGACTGCATCTTCAATTCTTTGGCGATGGGAAAAGCATAAAAAGTGATGCAAAACTCGTTACTTTGTTTGGAACCAAACCGATGACGAGGTATTGTGAGAAGGGTATAAGAAGAAGAAGAAGAAGAAGAAGAAGAAGAAGGGTACACAGCAGTCAATGGTTTCGCAATATGTGCTGAGCTGAGGACCCCATGAGTGACAATAGTGAAGAAACCTCTGCGAATATAGACAAGAAAAATGAGGATCGCCATTAGGATAGCAACGATACAAGGCATTTGATATGTAGATAGGAAAATTGAGCACACTATCATTGGTTCATTCATTAGTTATGCGATCTAATAAGATATGTGAAGCCTAATTGTAGAACAACATTACCGAGAAAGCCTGTCCTAATAGAAAACATGATATGAGAACAAGAAAGTAAGAAGACTGTCGATTACATCAACTGGTAATTTATTTCTGATCGTACGGCGTTAGCTGTGAATTTATTGGAGAATTAAGAGATGCGGGGGAAGAAAGAGATGCCTCGATCCACGATCGCCATGAGGACAACGGAGGACGGAGAAGGAAGAGATTTAGATCATCAAATGACATGGTTATCGGATATCGATTTGTTTCGATCCCTACGGACTGGTTATGGTGGCAAGATATTAGAGGCATAATGAATGCTTGATGCGAGGGTGATGAGAGGTCGGCTCGTGGTAAGAGATTAAGAGGACATGAACTGAATGGAGCCAAGACGAAGCCACCAACCTCTTCCTGCATGTGGAGGAGCTTTGCCTTCTTCTGCTGGAATTCCGGTCGGTGGACTTTGGCTGCGCCCCCGGCTTCGGCTCCGGCCTCCATCGAGGATGACGCGCCGGAATTCACTCCCTTGGAGCTGTTGTCCTTCTCGCCGACGTCGCGGCCGCTGCTTGAAGCTCCTGGACTCGCTTCTCCGATGTGGCACCGCTTGGCGAGCTTCAAGCCCGTGACGGCGCTGCAGAACTCGTCGAGCAGCTGCTGCGCTGGCCTCAGGAATCTGGAGTTCTTCAGTATGGTGGCGTAGCCGGTGAACGGGCCGAGAGGGCCGGAGCCACGGCGGGCAGCGGCGTCGCTGGGCAGGCTCACCACGTCTTGTAGTGATCCCCCGCCGGTGTACACTCGGTCCCCGATCAGGAACTTGGGGTAGGGGCAGGAAGGCCCGGCCGCCAACTGCGCCGCGCCGAGCTCCGGCACCGGGCTCGACGCGAGCGTCAGGGACAGGCCTCTCGCCGCTCTCGGATCGCTAGCCCCGACGGCAGCGTCATCGCACTTGGCGCCCATGATATTTCCATCTCCGCTCCACTGCGGAGGCAGCTGCCTGGCCATCAGCATGGCACCGGGCGATTCCCCGGCATAGGTGGGCAGGAACAGCAGCTCGTTCCCGCCACCCTCGACGGCCCACGGGCACGGCTGTTGCGCGATCGCGGAGGCGAATTCTCGGCCTTGGCACGCGAGCGGCGATGAGGGCGACACGAAGTGCAAGTCCGTCGATCCGTCGTGATAACCGACGAAGCCGGGCCTCGGTTGGTGGTGGTAGGGATGACCGTGCGGAACAAAGGAAGGAGGCGGAGCCCAGTCGCAACCGGGCTGGGGCTGGAAAGCAGCGGCGCCCTCGCTTAAGATCAGCGACGACGCGGAAGGAGCGACGAGGGGGACTTGGCTGCCGCCCGTGAAGTCCGTGGCTGCTGAGGCGGCCGGGGAGGAGAACATGGCCGGTTCGGAGGCGTCGCGGACCTGGAGGAGGTCAGACTGTACCCGGAGCTTGTCGCGGCGGCTCTGCTGGGCGACGTGGGCATCCGACCGTAAGCCGTTCATGGCACGTTGGCTGCTGCAGTTGGCAGTGGCGGCGGTGGGGCTGGCCGGGGGCATTCCGGGTCGAGAGACATGAGTTGGCGAGCGATGGATCGGTGTAAAGAGGGGAGGATGCGGGGAGGTGGTGGAGAGGAAGAAGGGAAGGCGGGGAAGGAATGGGTTCAGAGGCCAATAATTTGGGAGCGTCGGGAGCGGAGACGCAGGGTGGCAGCCATCTCCATGTATCTGCTACGAATCCAGAGCAAGTACAAAGGGAGATCACAAGATGGCAAAGATTAGAAAGAGGAGAGAGATGGGGATGGGAAGCAAACAAAGAGATGGAGGTGGTGGTGGGTTTCAGGAATCCGAGCAAGCAAAACACTCCACATGGATTCACTGCAGCAGCAGCAAAGGCCAGAGGGTGCGGAGGAAGCGTGAAAGTTATGACTTGCTGAAACCCACTTCACGACAACCACACCCCCGCTCGACATGTGAAGACCGCCCATGTGTGCAGATATGACTCTCATTCATGCCAACAGTTTTCTCTCTCTCTCTCTCTCTCTCCCCGTCTTCTCATCATTTCATTAGCAGAAAGGGGGCGTGGTTAGCAGCAGCGCTTCGCTACTGTGGCGGAATGCCACGAAAGAGGTAAAAAACAGGGGGCAGAGAACAAAACGGCAGGGAATAAGACTGCTCTCTCTTTTCTTTTGGGAGCGAGGGAAAAGGGAGGGAGGGGGAAAAGGAAAAGAAGACGGGACGAAAGCAGGCAGCAAAAGATTACGCCGCAGTGAGTGCGGGAGGCAAATATTCCCCCCCGCCCTACTCGCACACGCTCGCCAGCATGCGGTGGTCCGCCGAACCGACGGCCGCGATTGCGACGCAGGCGAGTCCCGCCTCCCTGTCCCAGTCCGACTCCCGATGCCGCCGTCGCGCGTAACGCCGTCCCCACAGGTACGATTCGGACGAGCACCCGAACACGCACCTGCCTAATTCACCCGTGGGCCCCGCAGCTCATCCAATCGCGCAGCGGGTATCGAGAAAGAGAAACCAAGGTCGGGGACGACGTGGAGGATTCCGATTGGCGGAGGGAGAACGGGTCCCAAAGGAAGCGGGGTCGCGTGGCGTCGGGTGACGTCACAGTAGGAGGGCCCCAGGATTACCCGGGAAATGAGGGGGGCGTTTCCGATCTGCCCCATATCTTTTGCTTCGCGGGCGGGCCTGCTTCCTTCGCCACCCCTTTCTCTCCATCTTTCCCTTTTGATCTCCCAAGCCCCCGCCTCGCCCCCCCACTTCCCGATTCCCGATGCCCCCCCCTCCTCCCACCGTCAGAACCGCTGCGTCCTGGTACGGACTCCCTCGTTCTCTTCCCTCCTCTCTCCATCATTATATATGGGTTCTTATGGGTAATCAAGAAGAAGCCTTTTTACAAGAGGTTTCACTTTCTGCCTGCCGGACTCGCCATCAACTCGTCCCTCCCCCTCTCCCTCGCGGCAAAGCTCCACCCACATCATCTGTTTCGGTGGCGTTTAGCGCGCAGGCTGAGGATGAACCACAGGCCCGTACAGATTAGGAAGAGGTTCAATGATCTGTATTCGAGCCCTCCAGGTCCGCACCGACTCCGAGATCTGCTACAGTGACTTCCATGCCTCGTCCGCTGCGTCGCCGGTCGCAGACTCGCGGCCCGAGGAGGCTCGATGAACCCAGTTAACTTCCTGTTACGCACTGCACCGGCTGGAGGATCCATGTCCGAGCAGTCACCATACGTTAAGGAGTGGGTATTAAATGAGCGGAGAAGGGATGGGGGAAAAGATAGGTTGGCAGAAGGGGGAACGCTATCGTCCTGACCATCCAATTAATGTGGGCCCACAGGCCACATCTTGATTGGACGGCTGGGATGGAAGTGGCCTGTTTGCTGTGTACTTGTTTCGGCTTTTATTTCCATCTCCCCACCCAACGATTGGACGGCCGAGATCTTATGCTGACGGCGCCCCGCTGTGGGGGCCCCCGGGTATGAACGTTAGTGTGAGATGTCGGACTTCACCTTGGTTGCTAATTAATTTAGCTCTGAAATCTCGATTCCTTGTGCAATTTAAGATGAGATATGTAGAGTGGTTGTGTAGTTGTCAAACCTTAGGTTGAAGGAAATTATGAGGGGTATGGCAACTTGATATGGATTCCGCTCCGAAGACCTACGCATGTAGCCATGCGGATGAAGTCAAGCTCCGGTACTTGAAATGAGTGATGGGACTCACTCACTAAACAAGCAGAGAGAAAGGAGAAAAAGAAGGTGGAAAAAATCCCTTTGTTGATTCTATTTCAAGTGCCATTTGTCATCCACACACATCCATCCATCCATATTCGAGACGAGCGAAGGCAAAAAGATAGACATGCTACTTGGTCTCGCAAGATTATTAGCATCGCAAATAGGTGATGGTGATTCATCCTCGTGATTAGGCCATATGGAATTAGATGTTACCCATATGGAGAGACGGATGGAGGACGACGAAGACAAGCCCGCGTGTAATATATTCACTGTGATGCTGTGTCCCAGCAAGATGCATTTGCATCTCTGTCTCCCTCTCTCTCTCTCTCTCTCTCTCTCTCTCTCTCTGTGGCCATTAAAAAGACGGAAGGAAAAGAAAGCGAGAGAGAGGTGCGGCAATGGCACAGAGGCCACACATTGAGGTGGGTTCTTGGATGATGGGTTATTGAGTGGGCAAGCTTCTGCAGGGCCGTACCTTCTTTTTCAGACAATCATACTGCATTGCCCTCATTCAACAATGGCCTCTTTCTGTGCTCTAACCAAAGCAAAGATTCTATTCTGCCAGGGTAACTTGGCCGAGAATCTCGAAGAAAGTAGTAGACACGTGAACAACCCACCACCATCTCTCTCTCTCTCTCTCTCTGTATATGTTCCCTTCTTTCACTTTACACTTGAATCCTACTGTTTCTGCCATTGTTTTAGACGCTTATCATCCCATGCATGTTCCTCATCTTCTAGGGTTCCATGGATGATGGGTTCCCAATGCGTCCTTCTATCATTTAACTACCAAACAAACACATAATTGATATACGAGTACTTCCTAAATCACCAAAACTATGCTGTAGCAGTGAAAGAAAAGAATGTTCAGCTGTAATATCTTCTGTTCCTTTGGCACCATAGGCTTCTCGGTTGAGCTATCAAAGCTCACAGAAGCATAAGATATCAAGATGAGCACCATCATACTTATGTATGTGCATACTTCCCATCTAAAAGACACTTCCCTGTTTCTGGGGCTGAGAAGATGGATCAGTATCCTATGAACAACATATATTCTTGGCCTAGGTTTGCAGAGGTTAGGGGGGCTCAAAAGTTTGTGCCTATGTATTCTGAGGCCTTGGGTTGGAGGAGTTCCAGCATCTTTTCCTTGGTGATTGATGGCACTGGATGTTTGAGGACAGCTTATTTGTCTCCTGCAGATGCATTCCACCGCACCCCATCTCTTGCATGGATTTGCATGCGTGCATGCATGCATGCGTGCATGCGTGCATGTATGCATGCAGATGTGGAGCAAATTTTGCTTGTTCCACAGTTCATCAGCGTGTCCTTTGCTACAGTTCAAGTGTCATCTTATTGCTCCGAGTACCGCGAAGGACGTGTGTGGCTTTGTCCTCATGCATGCTGCTTCTATGTGAAGGACTGCATCGTTCATGAGGGCGATGCACAGATACTTGCGGGTAGCTCGGTTGAATAGTCTTCGCAGTCCTGTTGTTTCTTCTTCTACCTGGATTACGTCTAAGCTTAATGTCGAGGCTACTCCAATAAGATATGCACCTGCATTGCGAAGCTATAACGCAGGCAGTGTCGCCCTGCGCATATATAGTCTCTCTCTGGATCGGCTGATTACAATGGAGTAACAAGATTCTGGGAGAGGACTGACTGATGATGGCTGCTCCACCGGGGTTCAGTCATCGGTGGCTTTGGAAGGAGACGACATGCATGCATGTATCCTTCGTCTTACCACTGTGGCCATCTTCAGATTAACAAGAAGCCCTTCTTCTTCTTCTCTCCGCAAGGTTTAATTTAAGGTTGCAGTCGGGATTCAACAGACCTCTTATCCTCAGCTGCTGAATGAAAATGCACAGAAGAAGAGAAATCAAGAACATTGCTAATTTCAAGATATTAGAGAAGGACTTTTTTTGTTTACTTTGCCTTCTGCAGGCTGTCTATGGGAAGTCAAACGTAATCCTATGGGTCAAAGATCTCACCTTGACTTGGGCTTAGATACATCGGGCCACCATGATAGAGTTAGATGGCCCAACCATGACAAATGTTTCGCATAGTTTATGGCTAATTAAGATTAGGCCATCACCCTCCAAATAGAGTTCAATTAAAACTCGGAAGCTGAAGGTTGACTTCCAGGAGAGATTTGGTCAAAACGATGGAAGTCCAAATAAGTGGTTTATGATTTGACTGTACGTAGAGAAAGAACTTGCGTGATAAATCACGGTTGACTTTGGTACCCTCACCTTCGTGATTTATGCACATTAGTTACCATCATCACTTTATTTGTCCCCCCATAGATCGATCCACGTCACCTGGGAAGATCCACGCGAGAGACCCAAGAAGAAGAATGTAGACCTAACCGGTGTCTCGTGCAGTCCACGTGTCTTTAAATTTCGTGCCGGCATTATTAGGCAACAAATCGCATCACATCGATTCTAATTGATGTGTTATTGTTTGTTTGCGGTAGAAAAAGCCAAATCAGTTGTCTCCATATGCACAAAAGACAAAAAGGATACAGTGGTGTGAAGTTATTCTTCGAGGGGCAGTTCCGTCACATCGCTCGCGCCGCGGCGGGTGCGGAGGTTTACCGCGGAGCCGTGGATACGGAAAAGCCGGTCGGAACGCTGACCTTCTCCGCCCATACCTTGGATTCAAGGTAAATCTTGGAGACCTTGCCGGCAGCCCACGTCATGTCCGGCCGCGCCGCCGCATCGGCCTCCACGCACCGCAGCGCCACCCGGATCAGCTTCTCCGCAGCCCCCACCGGGAACGAGTCCCGCAGCCTGCCGTCCACCCACCGTCTCACCCTCCCCAGCCGCTCCTCCCCCTCCCCCGCCACCGCCTCCCGCGCCGTTTCGATGAGGGAGGCCACTTCGAAGGATTTCCGGTCCTTGTCGTATCGGTACTTGAGCGGCTCCTCGCCTGAGAAGAGCTCGAGGAGCACCACCCCGAAAGCGAACACGTCCGACCGCCGCGAGACGACCCCCTCGGCCAGAAGCTCCGGGGCCATGTAACCCCGCGCTCCCTCTATCTGTTTCTGCTTCTCGCTGGATCCCTTCCTCGTTGACGGCGAGGAGATCGAGATCGCCTCTGCCTCATCGGCCACGGTATCGGGGACCTCCCCCTCGAGATCCACGGCGCCGAAGTGGCAGATTTTGGCGCGGAGGTCCGGCTCGGTGATGATGACGGCTGAGCTCTTGAGCCGGTTGTGGACGCCGGTGGCGGTGGAGGAGTGGCGATGGATGTATTCCAGGGCCTGGGCGACGTCGGTGGCGACCTGCACGCGGGAGGCCCAAGAGGAGAGCGGGGTGAACCCGGGGTTCCGCGGGTTGCGGAGACACTCGGCGAGGCTGGCGCCGGGGACGAACTCGTAGACCAGGTAAACGTGGTCACCGGAGGGGGAGGCGCCGAGGAGGCGGACGAGGCTGCTGTGGTGGGACCTGCCAAGGGCGGCGAGGCGGGCGGGGAGCTCGCGGGGGTGGCGGCGGAGGGGGCGCTGGATAACGACGACGTCCCGACCACGGAGAACGCAGCGCCAGGCGGAGGAGGAGGCGCCGGGGAGGCGCTTGGCGAGGAAGTTGTTGGTGGCGGCGCAGAGCTCCGGGAAGTGGTAGACAGCGGGGGCCTCCGGGAGGGCGCCGCGAAGGGAGGCGAGGCTGAGGGCGGACGAGGAGGAGGAGGCAGCGAAGGAAGAGGCAGAGGAGGAGGGTTTAGGTCCGGACGACGAATCGGAGTGGTTGGATGTAGGGGGCAGGCGGCCTGGACGGCTACCGGTTCCCGCGCTGACCTCGCCGGAGGAAGCGGCGGTGGCGGCGGAGAACTTGGAATGGGACCTGGATCTAGGTTGGGAGGCCATGGTGGCGGCTCTGGACTTGCACATTGAGCGAGATCATAAAACTCGCGGAGATGGGGAGTTGTGGTAACGGCGACGGAGAAGTGGTGATCGCGACGAGGGAAAAGGCATGTGTCGAGGGTGCCGCGCCGAACACGTTCCGTGACGCTTTACCCCTTGTGTTATTATTCGCAAGGCGTTTTAGTAGTAAAAGGTTGCTCACAGGAAAGCCAAATACATTCAGTATGACTTCTTCTTCTTCTTCGTCTATATACTATGAATGATTCATCCTTAAGAACCGGTCCTGTGCTCGAATTGTTAGGTATATTTCCAGCATCTGTCTGTGGAATTCGGCCACACGAATGCACCATTTGCTTCCTTCTCTCAGGTGGCACCCGAGCATAATGTTACAGGAAGAACACGGAAAGCCCATGTGTTTGTAGTTCGTCCTCCTCTCGAGGTTTAGCTGGCCGTCTTCTCCATTGCTGATGGGTGTTAAGGTTCTTGCTCTTCGCCTACTAAGCATAAAATTCAAATAAAATTGGTTGACTGATTCTTTTCTAATCAAAAAGATAATAACAGTCCAATTGGGCATGCACCAAAAATGCCAAAGCAGGCAGCTCATTTGGGATTAACAGTCCAATTGCTAGGAACCATTGTCTTCTTCTCTCTATCCAAAATTGATGTGGTGCATGGTTTGTAGATCCACGAGGTTGGATCGAGACTGTCATATGCTTTGGCATTGGGGTCGTATCTAACACACCAGATTTTTTGCTCCTTGAAGCGGACAAAACACAAGCTCTCCAATCTGTTGGAGTTGCACCCCAGCCATTGAGACACAAAGATGCTCAAATCGATGTACAACTGAGATTGACAAGACACTCTTTGCCTCCTCCAATCTTTCTAGGGAAATGAGGAGCAGAACCCAACACCATTCTGCTGCTGCTGCATCTCTTTCTCTCTCTGTCCTGCTAAGGTTTTAGTCTCCATTTGTTATTTTCTATGTTCGCTGGCAGCTCTTTCCCTGCTTTGGTTTCCCGGAACCGATGGAAGTACTGTCCTCAGTGTCGTTCAGAAGAAAATGAATGTTGTTTTATGGACTCTTGGAATTCAGTATCACTGCTGCTCTTCTCTCAGCAATCACATCACTGAAAGCTACTTAACATTATATTTTAGGGCTTATTATCAAAGAGAAGGAACAGTGAGTCTTAGAAGCATGCTTGATTCATTATGATCTCAAGCTTGTATCTGAACTCACAAGCAAGTCTGCAGTCAATAAAAATTCTCCCACCTGCCACCACCAAATTATCAACTGTATCACTGATCTAGCTTGGCTGAGCATGTGCTTCCTCAAAGGGAACCAAGATAAAAGAATACGAACAGAAAGAAATCGAGTACTCCATGATTTCTGCATGGTTATCAGACACTTGGGATTTTGTTTCACTGAAGAATCTATCACAGAGCCTCCACCTCTGCATCCCTGACAAGTTGAAGGATTGCCGTCTTTCTATGCTACACAGGCTAACATATGAGGCCTTCTGTTCTTTGAATCTTTCCTTGCCCATCCTGCAGTGGCTGCACCATATCTCACCACTGATCATGTTCGTACATGAACAGTGCAAGCAGAGTGCGCTGTTTAGCAAAATGTTGGCAGTCTACAGTACTTGTCATTACCCAGAAGACACATTGAACCTTTCAAATGCCATTTTTCCTCTCACAACAGAAACGAATTAGTGGGTTGATTAACTCTACATACAGCTCCTTATAAGCCATTGATAGAGAGACATGGTTTAGAATTGAAATGATGTGTTTCTTTTTTCTTTATTTTTCCAACATGTCTAATATTAATTTGTCTTTTTCTTGGATTCTAACAATGAAAACCTCAGAGCCAAGAGCGACAGGGCCACTGTGTGTCTGTGTCCATAATGTTGTCATCATGTATCTGTTCCATGTCTTTTCTCTTTTTGTCATGGGGAAAAAGACACCATTTCCTATTGTGACAGTCATTTGGTAGGTAAACTATCATGTTTGGTGCTTAACCATCCTAAGAAGCACAAGTACTTCTGCTAACTAATGTTGTACACCACTCACAATTTTTAGTGCAAAGATTGGACAAAGAGTCTTTCTGCCTTCTGCAGCCAGCAGTGATAAGTCCCTTCTCTCTACTTCCTGTTGCATGAGTCATCACCTAACACTGAAGAGAAGCCACCAAGCAACCAGTGTTATGAGAAGCGTATGATTTTGTCACCTTACAGGATATGGCAGCCACTGCTTCGATCGATTCTTAAGTTGTATCTATGCCCGGGGGTGACAAATCTTGCACACAGCCCTATGGCTGGGACTTGCATCGAGTGGATTGATGTGACACTTCTTCGACCAGACATATCCAGAGATCCAACTGAAACAATGCTGTATTTACCTGCATATTTTGTAATCTGTAGAAGAAATACGATGAAGGGGAGGGAGCCAAAACAAGCTAGAGGTAGATCAGATGCATGGTCTCCAAAAGTACAGGAATAGTTTCTTTGTAGATGGTGATTGATGGTAGCCCATGAGTTCCTGACACAAAACATGCATGCAGCCAAGAGGCTGGAAGACTTGATTGAAACTAGACAAGCATATATTCTGACTCGTTTATCATTCCCATCCTCTTATATACTTGTGTGTCATCTATCCATCTGTCTCCTTACCTTGTTACAATGGTCTAAGGCCATTCTAGCTCAATGTTGAGAGTCTGAGAAATGGGGAGGGCTCCATGTTGTGACAAGGCAAATGTCAAGAAAGGTCCTTGGTCTCCAGAGGAAGACAAGCAGCTGAAGGAGTACATAGAGAAGCATGGAACTGGTGGAAACTGGATCACTCTCCCTCGGAAAGCTGGTAAGGGAAGGAGTGATCATGGTTGATGACTTGTATTATACTCATCCGTTGCTCTTTTGTGTTGCCTTCTCGGAGTGATGGTTGTTGCATGGGTAACGAGGACAGGTCTGAGAAGGTGTGGAAAGAGTTGCAGGCTGAGATGGCTCAACTATTTGAGGCCTAACTTAAAGCTTGGGGATTTCTCTGATGATGAAGATAGGGTCATCTGCAGCCTGTTTGCTGCCATTGGAAGCAGGTGATCTGATCCATTCTTGCACATATATCTGTGCTTGTTCAACCCCATGTATCCATTTGATGTTAGCACATGTAGTCCATCTTCTCTCTCTTCTCCTTAAAAGAGAACAGCATCTCTTCTATAAAACACCAAGCAAGATCTTCTGTATGCATGCATGAAGTAATCTGTCTCTCATATGCCAAGATCACAAGTGCAGATGGTCCATCATAGCAGCCCAGCTCCCAGGGAGGACTGACAATGACATCAAGAACTACTGGAACACCAAATTGAAGAAAAAGCTCCTGGGCTTACCACCATCTCACAGAAAGCCTCATCATCATCAGCAGCAGCCATTGTTCTTCCCATCGACCTTGGAGACCACGGCTTCATTCTCATCATCAGCACCAGGCCTAGAAGGCATCCCAATCTCCCCATATCTCTTGAGTTACTCCACACCCGCCTCTGCCTTCCCTCTTCCTCAAATCCCAGCACATCAAATTGGTGGTCGTATCAGTCACCAGCAGAGCTGCAGTTCGGATGATGGAATCAGCACGCAGATCTGTAACGGAGGAAGAGAGCATCTAGTGCTCGACAACTCCCTCTATGGAGGCTTGGAGATTGAGAAGCTGCTACTCGGTGAACGATCACTAGGATGCAACTCTGAGGAGATCAAGGCTATTGTTTGTCCAAGTAGTGTCTATCTGGATGGCAAAGACGGTGCAAGAAGGGGCTATTGACATGAAACACTTCCCTTGTGGTGTGAGAAGATCACTTTGACAGTGGAGGAGCTTAGAAAATGGTGTTGGGCTTCCTTGGATTCACTTCCCTTTTGTTGTATGTGAGTCTGGTCCTGACAAGATCCCCTTGGCTCATCATCCAAGAGCTGAATCTAACGTGCTTGACTGCCATCAGTGTGTCAGTGACTTCAAGTCTTCCAAGGACACCATCGAGAACCGAAACAAAGTAGGGAACATTGACCTTCACCACTCGTTAGTCTTCTTCATCGAGTTAGCTTCCTCCCTGTGCCATTGCTGTAGAGATCCCTAAGAAAAGAAAGTAGGAAGAGGCTTTAAAGCTGTGAATGCCTTCCTTTATCTCCATTAGAACTTTGCTGTGGTGATTGCCATCCGCCAAAAGAACAAAAGTACAGATACACATTTCTGTATGTTTCAGATGCCACACATAAATGCTGCACATTTTGGAGTTTAGCGCGAACACAGATCAGCTTTGTGGGGAGCTTTCCAGTGTTCTTGAGTTCCGCTATTCCAAGAATGAACGAGAAAGAACAATGATGCCAACAAGATAAGAACAATAATTAAGAGATCAAAGAGAATTTAAGGATTTGAGATAGTCCTTTTCTCGATGATTGACTCTGAATCGTGGTCAAAGACACGAGTTAGAATCTTAAAAATCTTGATTGACTAACATCCAAGTCTAACGATCGTGACATGACACGTAAAAGGATCCCAAATCGTATACTAATAATGATTATTTTATTTGAAATATAATCTTTAAACAGTCTGATCGGAATACAAGCAAAGCTCACCAAAAACATTAGCGCAGTAGAAACCAGCAGTTAGGTAGCTAACAACATCACGTACGCTTTATTATTCGCCATGCACGTACGTAACAAAGGCGTTCTAAGTAGAACCACTGCTCCGTTCTCGATCTACTCATCCATGCTTATAAGGCAGCGAAGGCTTTCGCCCTTCAACATGTAGTCGAACGCCTTGTTGATGTCCGAGAATGGAACTCTGTGCGTTATGAACTTCTCCACTTCCAGTTGCTGCAGGTGGAAAGAAAGAAACACGTCAGCTCATCTCCGTTCTGATGAGACCGTCTTCAGAATTCGACAGGAAAGAGCTCACCTTCTTCATGTACATGTCGACCACCGAGGGCAGATCTGTCCTAGGCTTGTAGTTCCCGAAGAAGGTTCCTCTCAGTGTCCTCTCGTTGAGCAAGTTCATCGGCTTCGTCATGAACATGTCGTCCTTGTTGGGAACCCCCACCAACACAGCAACACCCCATCCCTGACAAGCATGAATCAACCAGAAGACAATGAGAATGGCTGTTCGTCCTTCGAGAGTAGTAATTAACCATGTCGCAGTCCTATCACGCACATCATGAACGCATTCAAACGCGGACATCATAGCCTTGACGTTGCCGGTGCACTCCACGCTCCTGTCGACTCCACCATTGGTCATTTCAGCAATCACCTAAGGGAGACAACAAGAACTGGGTTTAGTCCTGCAGATCTTGAAGGTTTTGTGGCCAAACATTCGAGAAACATGCAACCTCCTGCACTGGTCTGTCATGATCTTTAGGGTTCACGAACTCGGTGATGCCAAACTTCTTCGCTGCTCATAAAGAAGCCAAAATGGTGATCCAGTGGTTGAGAAAGCAAATGTTGGCAAGAAAACTTAAAACTTACCCACTTCAAATCTGCTGGGATTTAAGTCGACACCGATGATTCGGGATGCGCCGGCGATTCTTGCTCCTTCTGCAGCCTACAAACCAGAGATCAGAGTAAATGTTTTAGAAGTAGTAGATCTATGGTAATCGATTCATCAGTGTTCTATATATGTAAGACTTACAGCAAGACCTACAGCTCCCAATCCAAATATCGCAACTGTTGAACCTTTTTTAGGCTTGGCAACATTGAGTGTGGCTCCGAGCCCTGAGGGGAAAAGGGATGGAACATTCTATTTCTAATCTCAAAGAGGGTGGGGGTGGTGGTGAAGAGAGTGTTGATTATACCTGTCGATATGCCACAGCTGAGGACACAAACTTTGTCAAGAGGTGCAGATTTGTCGATCTTAGTAAGGCAGCCAACATGGACGACTGTGTACTCGCTGAAGGTGGAGGTTCCCAGGAAGTGGTAAATGGGATTGCCGTTCTTAGAGAACCGGGCGTTTCCATCGCCAATCATCACACCTCTGTCTGTGTTAATCCTTAGCAGGTCACACATGTTGCTTTCCTGAGACTTGCAGTGTGCACACTCCTTGCATTCTCCTGTGAACACCGGGAGGACATGGTCTCCGACTTCCAGATCCGTCACACCTTCACCAACACTCTCGACGATCCTATTTGTGGAAGAACATAGCGTAAAGCACGGTGTTGTTGCAGGAAAATTAGAATCCACGCGAAGAAGAAACACAACATGAACATACCCTGATGCCTCGTGGCCAAAAATTCGAGGAAAAAGTGGTGCCTGACCCTGATTCAAAGAAATTTTGATGGGTAAAAATGAAGGAAGAGAATCATACAATCTTATTCGATCATATAGTAAACAAGTGAGGAACATGATTCTGTCATCGTTAGCAAGAATCTAATGGGATCACAGCAGAGTCGGTGCACAGGATGCGGGGGAGAGGGAGAAGGCATGCCTTGGCTTCCCAGAAGTAGACATCGGTGTGACAGAGGGAGGTGTACTTGATCTTGACCCTGACCTCCATGGCCTTGGGTGGCGCCACCTCCACCTGCTCGATCACCAGCGGCTTCCCCGCCTCCCAAGCCACCGCAGCTGCACGTGCCCCCAAAATTCCTTGGAGCAAGAAGAAGAACGACAAAAAGGAAATCGAGATGCATTAGGAAAGGTTGATTCATGTACCCTTGCAAGGAATGATGCTTCCGGCAGTGCTCGCCATCGCTGCTGTCGTCGCTGCTGCTCTTCTTCCTCTTCTTCTTGATATCACTTCGCTTCAGCTGCTGTTGATGACAGTGGTGAATAGCTCCTCCTCCTCGGATATGTAGATCGTCTTGCGGTGGGATTTCCAACAACTTGATCCATGAGGTGGCCGGCATCCGTCTTGCGCGTCCCGTTGCGGTGCACTTGGCAGACGTCTGGGGGCGTCGTCGCTGAAGCGGCGGGAGCGTCACGTGCCGCCTCGTGTCGCCAAGCGCGCACAGGGCGATGGTGGAAGGAACCAGAGGAGCTTTGGGACCGTGTCGCCACCGTAGAGTGGCCGGGCGACGATGGCGGCGCGGCCATTTCGCAACTGATCGCGTGAGAAAAGACGACGGTAATGCAGCAATCTCGCGTGCGATAGTCAGAAGAAAGTTGTTCGCGATCGTCCACAGATGAGGCGAGCCGAACCGAACCGAGCCGCGGGTGGTTCAGATGGTTTAACTGTTTTTTTTGGGTTTAATGATATGTTTCATGTCGTTATTGGGGTCATTAAAGGCTCTAAGCGGTCATCTTTGGGCCCAAGAAAAGGGCTTAGACCCGAGATTTCGAACTCCGGCCCAGAAACCAACATCAGGCCCAGATAATACCCTTCTCCTCATCACAATCGCTCTTCTAATAAACTCTCCTGGACCCACTAATAGAAAGAAGGGGATTGGTGGTTGTCTTGAGGCGAGCCAGAACTGTGTCCGTCTCCTCTTGACTCGGACGCAAGAAAGGGTGTCCCGTCGCCGGAGAGAGAGAGAGAGAGAGAGAGAGAAAGAGGCGACGCGAGGGGTTTGCGGCTTCGACGGAGGCGTGGCGTCGACTGAATCGGTGTGGAAAGCGGCAGCGGCGACGGTGGAGGAGGAGGATTTGATGGTGGAGGAAGTCAGCGCTGGAGCGGCGGGGGAGACGGAGGAGGAAGTCAGAAATGAGGAGGAGCTGGGGCTAGGGCTGACCTTGGGGCGGCTAGGAAGGGGAAGCCGCTGCCGGCGCCGTGGGGCCGTGCTGGCGCATCTTGATCGCCAAGAACTTCCCCTCGCTGGCGTCGCGCGCCTCTCCGATGTCCCCAACCGCCTCCTTGGTCTCCTCGTCCTCCGGCACCAACCCGGGTTCGCCGGGACTAAGCGGGCGGCAGAATCCGTCTCCCCTGACTCCCCTCCTCCCCGTCTCAGGTGAGCCTTACATTCTCTCTATCTTTCTTGCTTTCTCTTGACCATGGGGTTCTTGTTCTCCCATATTACTATCTTTTTGCTTTCTTTACTGCCAAAGGAGTCGGCAATAGGAAGATTCCGTTTTGTTCTCTTCTTATGTTTCTAACTTTTTTGTTTACTAATAAGATCACCAGAATTTGCTTCCATCAAAGAAAGATGAAAGAAACAGAACACTATTCGCTTTTGCTTCTTTGCTTTCTTCTGTAATCAACACCTTTCTCTCTCAGAAAGTGAAACATCCTATTTGAATTGTTTAGTCTTACTGTATTAGTTTGACAACGATATGAGCTCAAAGGAAAATATTAGTGACGAAAATTATTCGGTGCTTTTGATGTAAAGGTTTTGGTACTGAGTTAGTCTGCTATGTTCTCAAAGCAAAATATTAGTGATGAAATGTATTCAGATGCTTGATGTAAATATTAACATATAAAAAGAATCAAGAGTGAAAAAGCAATTCCTTTTATTTTCTCATCCCTGAGCTTATGCTGTTTATGAACTTTTAAATTTGTTGCTGAATATTTTTGGGTTTTATGTCTCAAAAAAAAAATTCAAGTGAGCGAACAGTCAGGTGGCAGTGGGATGGCCACCTATCAGGGCCTTCAGGATGAACAGATTGTTCAACCATTCCAAAGATAGTACCTCCAATTCCCTCAAGAAGACCAACCTCATCATTGGCAACAATGATCAGGAGAATAAAGGAAAAGAAACAAGGAATTCATTATTTGTTAAATTGAAATGGATGGTGATCCTATATGTTGGAAGGTGGATCTCATTGCCCATCATTCTCATTAATCTCTTGAAGTTGCACTTGAGCTCATGTTTCAGAAGCCTACTATGGGCCCTGCCCTTTGGCCTCTATCTGTGAGTTCATTATCTGTAATTATATCATTATATAGTTAATCTTCCTGATGTATGCAAGTAGAGCTTAAGATCTAAGCGATAATTTCTCGTTCTCCATTAGGGAGATTCTATGTCATAGTGGAAATCAATTTATAGATGTCTGCCTATTGTGCAGCATAGGAATTGAAATAAAATCGGCAGTTATCTGTATTTTTTGTGGTATGTTGGGATGTGGTGGAGTTACTTATTATATTGGTGTAAATGATGGCAGATGGAGCAAAGGTTTCAAAGTTGTTAGATGGTTCTTCTGAGTTTTCTCTTACTTATGAAGACAAGGATGGGGACTGGATGCTGGTTGGAGATGTGCCTCGAACTGTATGCCTTCTTCACAGTACAGACTGATATTGATACCTGTCTATCGGTATACCTAAACGCAAGAAATCATTCATGGATGACTACTTTGGTCAGGGAACCTATTTCTCCTGGAGAACGATATCATGGTGTTTCGATCATCATTAGAATACATTTATTAACATAGATCAATTGTACTCTGGTTATAGTGCATGCATTCAATTTTGTTGCAATCTTATGGTTTTTCTGGTGATCTTGTCCTTAGTTTTTTCTCATTGTCAAAGACTTGTTCTGTTTTGTAGTTTGCTGATTCAGTCTAACTTACAGAATGGTTTTGGAAACAGTGAAGAGACTTAGAATTATGAGGAAGCAAATGGGCTGTCAGTCTGTTCATTTTGGAGAGGTAAGTTGCAAACCTTGAGCTATAGTGACATAAGTTGTATGAAAATGTTCCAATAAAATATATCCTGATCATGACAATGTATGACATTACACTTTCATGGTCTTCTGATGCTCTCATCTATCAGATTGCAAATTCCTTGTTCTCTTACAATTTTGAGCAAATTAATTGTGGTTAGGTTAACCGTCCAATCTGATTGAAGGAAAAACCTACACACGATAGTTATGTTGCTTGGTTCTGAAGTTGAATTCTGATCTGAACTTATATTTGCACAATTTGACTCCCTGGACATCCTGACTTAATTGAGTTGGACTTGAATGCAGCACCAGGATTTCAGTCCCTCAACAAGGCCAGTGAAGCAATAGGAAGCAGTCCCGGCATAACAGCTGGAAACAGAATGAGGTGCTCTTAGAGGAGAGAAGAAGATGGGGACTCTGGAGTATGTATTACACAGAAGAAAAGAGATGAAACAATTAGAGGAGCCTAGATCAATTTGGGCAAAACACATATTTGCCCTTGTTTTTGGTGGTTGATTGGGTTCATGATTTCTCTGTGGTCATTCATGGCTGACCACTCCCGGCATGCTTGCTGCTTCAATGCTGCAACTGTTTCACAGTTTTCTACTGAATACAATACATGGTTTTGGATATTTCCTGCTGTTTCACACAGTTTCATGGCTGAAAATATGAATCCATTGTTTTCCCTACATGTGGTCATTAAATATATGCTGGGTTTTTCCTTAACAACTCAAGTTCTTCAGATTGCTGGGTAATCCAATCAAAACAGTTCTTCAGTTTGAATCTTGTATTTGTCTCCTTCCTTTTTTTAATTCATCCTGTGTTTTGTTAAATATAATGTGCAATGTCTTGTAAGTTAAGAGTTAAATATATATATCAGATCTTTTTATAACAATTTAAGTTTTTTTGGATTAATGAGGATCCAATTAAAATTTTTATCAGCTTGATCACCTTTCCAGTGCAAGGTTTATGTGGTGGCTTGGGACAAAGTTTATCCAGGACAAAGCCCATCATTCATCAACCATGTGTTCCTCTAAACTCAAATTGTATTCCATTATATATATATATATATATATATATATATATATATATATTATT